TAAACATACAGACCATATTAATACAAAAATAAGAATCACTTTTATTGCTACAGGTACAGAAAAGGCTTTTGAAAAATACAACACCATTTCTGGAAAAACAAAAAATTTCCCCCAAATTCTAAAAATCACAGGAATGAATAAACCTTGTTTAAATATGGTAAATAAAAATCTATCCAAAACCAAATGGCCAGCATTCAATATAGTGGAGACCATTATATATGGTCATATAGGCCTTTCCAATAATAGCAGGGATAAAGCACAGATATCCATGATCACTACTATTATTTTATATAGTGATAGAAATGCTAGTAGTAACATCAAAAAAGAAATTGATGGAATAAGCAGAGGTAAAGAAGAAACAAAATTATTAATTTATTGTAAATAATATAATGGTCTAAACAGAGATTCAATTAAAATTAATAGAAATGGTAGCTTCCTCAAAGTAACAGGATTATCACTATGTGGTGTATTACTAACAAAATCCAGAGAGAAGAGAAATTCCATTCAAAATAACTACCAAATATATAAAATATTTGGGAGCCCACCTATCAAGACACATAGGGACTATGTGACTACAACTACAAAATACTCTTTATAGAAATAAAGACACCTAAATAAATTGAAGAGAAATGAACTGTTTGTGGTTAGGACATACCAATATAATAACAATATTCCACAAATTTACTTATTCGATGCCATATAAATCAAATTATCCAAAGATTAATTTGTAGAGCTAGGAAAAAAAATTGAACTGGAGAAACAGGAGATCAAGAATCTCAAGGAGAATAATGAAAAAAGTGGGAAGGAAGGGGATCTAGCAGCATCATATCTTAAACTTTATTATAAAGCAACAATGATCAAAACTGTCTGGTACTGGTTAAAAAATAGAGACCAGTGAAACAGATTAGGTACTTGACATCCAGAAACATACAAACAAACCAGTATAGTGTCTGATAAACCCTTAAACTCCAATAATTGGGGTAAGGGACTATCAGACAAAAACTACTGGAAAACTTGGAAAATGGCCTGAAATTAGTTTGATACCAACAATTTGCACCATATACCACAAAGAATTTAAAATGAATACATAACCTAGATATAAAGGGTCACATCATAAACAAATTACAGGAGCAGAAAAGGAGATGCCTTTCACAGCTATGGATAAGGGAAAACTTCTTGACCAAACAAGGGATAGAGAGGATCACAGAAAATAAAGAACAATCCTAATACATAAAATTGAAAACCTTTTGCATAAACAAAATAATGCAGTTAAAATAAGAGGGCAAACAGTTAACCTGAGAGAAAAAAAATCTTTGCAGTAAGTTTCTCTGATAAAATTGAGACCTCATTCAAATATGTAAGAACGAGAATCATTTTTCAACAGACAAATGGTCAAAAGATATGAACATTTAATTCTCAAAATAAAGCAGGCCACTAGTAACTACACAGGGAAAGATCCTCCAATGCACCGAGAAATAAGGATTAAAACTGATTCCATCCAACTCACATCCACTGGACTGGCAAAGACAACAAAAAAGGAAAATGACTTGTTGAAGGGGCTCTGGGAAGACACACCCCAAAGCACTGCTGGTGGAGCTGTAAATTGGTCCAGCCATTCTGGAAAGCAATTTGGAACTCCATCCTCCAGATCACCAAGCGATGCCTACTCTTTGGCCCAACAATACCACTGCAAGGTATATATCCTAGAGAGATCAAAGAAAGAATAAAAGATCCATATGTACATAAATATTCATACCAGCACTTTATGTTAAAGCAAAGAACTGGAAACTAAGGAAATGACCATCAACTGGGGAATGGCTGAACAAAATACAGTATACAAAAACAATGGAATATTATTGTGCTGCAAGAAATGATGAAAGGGATGGATTCAGAAAAACCAGGGAAGACTTGTATGAATTGATGTGGTCAAGCGAATGGAACCAAGAGAATAGCTTCTGTCACAAAGATGCTTTCAAAGACTTAGGAACTCTGATCAACGAAATGACCAACCACAAGGGCAGATGACCGGTGATGAAATATGCTCTCCACCTCCGACAGAGAGGTAATGGACTCAGGATGCAGAAGATGTTGCTGGACTATGCTTATTTGTTATGAGAGAGGGTTTTGAAGTTGGGAGGGTTTGATGGGTGGGAAATTAGGATAGTGATGTCTCACCATTCCACCCCCCTCAAAAAAAGAAAGAAAAAGTCATTGAAGCATTTCAAATAAATGCACAGAAGAAAAGAGGTCAGAGGGAAAAAGACAAGCAGGCAGCTTAAAAACTAGCAAGTGAAATTTATTATAAGAAAACATGATGTATTATAAGAAAAAGATGTAATAGAGATCCATGGTTTCTTATATAAACCCCTTTTTCTGTTCTCTGTATTTGAGAATGTTCAAACTTAACTAACTGTATGAACTGGGCAAGTCACTTAATCTCTGCCTGCCTCAGTTTCCTCATCTGTAAAATGGGGATAATAAAAGCACCTACCTCCCAGGGCTGTGTGAGGATCAAATAGAATTTGTAAAGAGCTTATTAGCACAATGCCTGGCACCTAGTAGGTGCTATAGAAATCTTAACTATTATGTTCACGGGCAGCTAGGTGTGCATTGGATAGAGTGCCAGGTCCAGAGTCAGAAGACTCATCTTTCCGTGTTCAAATCTGGCCTTAGACACTTATTAGCTGCGGGACTCTGGGCATGTCACTTCACTCTGTTTGCCTCAGTTTCCTCCTCTGTAAAGTAAGCTGGAGAAGAAAAAGGCAAAACATTCCAGGATCTTTGTCAAGAAAACCCCAAATGGGGTTGGAAAATGAAAAATTGGACACGACCGAACAATTACGTGCGTGTGTATCGGTCAAGTTTTAAAAATATTCAGCACCTACTATGTGCAAGGCACTGGGCTTGAAACTAGAAACACAAAGACCAAAACGAAAAGCACTCCTACCTTTACGTAGCTTACATTCGACCAGAGGATGCAAACAAGTAAATCATACAGGACGATCCGAGGAGACATGACTAGTGGTTTGGGGATCAGGAAAGGCTTCCTGTAGGAGGTGGCTGAACATCAATATTGAACCTTGAAGGAAGCCTTGTCCAAAGGCAGAGAGACAGAACACCCTCCCTCAAGCTTACTGTCTACAAGGAACACATTTACAAAAACAAACTCAAGATAATTTGAGGGACACAGCGCTAACAGGTAGGAGGTTCACCCGGGCTGAACCTCGAAACGAGCGAAGGCAGAGGCAGAGAGGTACATCCCAGGCACAAGGGACAGGTGGGGTGAAGGCAGGAAAGATAAAGCCGACCTGAGGCAACAGTGGCAAGGACGCTGGAATCTGGAATCAAGGGTGAAGAGGTCTGGAGTCTGAACGCCAAGAGAATTAAAGGCCAGGCTTGGGATGTTTTTCCCTCCCTAAACTCAGCAATGGGGAGTCACCCCATCTTCTGCACAAACAGAAGTCCAACCTGTGCTTTAGGCGGTAAACAGTGAGCTGTCAGCGCGCAGGTGTCTCAAGTCTGTATCCATTTACCTATAGAGGTGATCATCTAGAATCAAAGAATGCTTGATTTGGAAGCATAGGTCTTAAGCCCAGAGAATGCCATTCATTCATTCATTCCCTCATCCTTCAATTAGCTTCTTGCCAGCCTGGGGAGCTGGAGCCCCAAAGATTCCCATGGCTGCAGAGTTTGCACTTTCATCGGGGGGCACATCTGAGGCTGGGGTGGGGGGACAGCCAGACATGTAGATTCTTCAGATTACATATACTGGAAGGTCACTTTTGGGGGGCTGGGGTACTGGCAAAAGCTTCAGAAGCAGCACTCAAGTTGGTCCTTAGGAGGCCTGGGGTAGGGGGCAGGAGCAAAGACAAAGACCAAAAATGTGAAGATCAGAATGGGTTAGTCCTGACTGCTTCAAAGAAGCAAAGGTTAGTGATGTGTGATGTAGGTTGGAGCGATTCAGTTGGCAATGGTAAATACTCATGGTCCAGTCACACTGGTGTTTCAGGGAAATTACTTGTTAGGGGCAGATCCTAGAGTGGACAGACTGGATTGACTCTCAGGGACTTGGAAACATCACTTTGAGAGATGAAAGAACCGGAGAGATGTCAGCAGTAGAAGGGTGCAATGCCCTTTTTTTTTTAAAAGGCTGGGTGGAGTGGGACACAGGGCTAAGTGAAGGTGATCTTGCATGTTATCTGGTGTGACTGTCACACAACCAGGGGCAGAGGTCTAGCAGGTGGCTGCACACATAAGACAGGACAGAAACTGAGAGGAAAGGCACCAATCCAAACTCGGATACTACCTACAGAAAGGTGATAAAGCCTTAAGAGATGAGAACTATCAGAGAGGGTACAAGAAATGATGACCTGACAAACTGGAGAAACATTAAAGGCATGGAAGAGAGTAACCAACAAGAGGCCAAGAAGCCTGACTTGAAGATATCTGATCTCCCTTTTATCTTACCTGTGAGAAGGTTCTATTAATGCATGAGTTCTAATCACAAGTTGTGAAAACAAAACTGAAAGATCTTAGACCTTGGACATCACACCTCCTAATCAGCAAATCCTTTCTCCGCCATTCTAACAGAATCTGAAAAGGCTGTGGCAACACCTTAAACCAACCTGCTCATTTTCAGTGGAGAACTCCACAATCAGTACAAAAGTGAATTGGTACTAGAAGCCAGGCGTCCACATTCTCCAATCTGGCGTACTTGCCAGTATAACAAGCTGTCTTTGGTCCTACTATGGAGTTGAAGTGGGGCAGTCTGATGTGGGATCTGAACCAGATCCACTGGATTTGCATCTAATGCTCTGTCCACTAAAGTGCCACTTTAATATTCTAAACAAAGCATTAACTTGGGGATTACACCCTGGAGAATCAACACCACGGATGATGAAGAGATGACAGCACACACCTCAGGAAGCTGAAGACTACTGCTAAGACATTGGATTACCAAACCTGAGCTCCACAGGAAACAGAAAATTATTTAAGAACAGTCCAAGCCAAACTGTATCCAGCTTTATTAAAGATACTTTTCATAAACAATCATGGTAATTCAGGCAGGACATGGGCTACGATCGGCAACGACAACTTTCCAACTCCCCTCCTCCATGGACTACCAAAAACATAAAGTCACTATAAAACCCAATGAAGAGTCTTTATTTTATACTTTAAACAGGGAAAGTTTAGAGTGAGGGTGGACACTTTCACATTGAGCATATGTTGTTTAACAACTTTTCACGAGCCTACCCTGACTTTGAGAAAATGAAATGAAAACTGTAGAATTCTTAATTGGAAAAGACCCCCAATATGAAAGGAACTTAGGCTCTTTTGGGGAGGCCTCAGCAGGGCCATAATTCAAGTCCAGATCACCTGAAAGACTGGTATCCAACACAATTGATTTGGGGGTGGGGGGAAGGAGGGAAACAGGGGCAGGTCCTGATAGGCCCCTGGGTTTGGAGGAGTCAAGTTGATGCTTATGGCAGACAGGGAAGAAGTACAAATTTTTGAAGTTATCCACTCCTACCCCCACCAGACAGGCTGAGGGTCTCAGTGTTTGTATCTATGTATCTGGTGTGTGTGTGTGTGAGCCTTCTCTTGGTATTCAAGAGAAGTCCTCTCAAAAACAAGGAGGAGAAGAAATCCCCACCCATTTCAACCCAGCTTCTGAGATATTCTATCTGTAACATCTGCCCCATTCCCCCAAAACAACAACAAAGCGTTCTGTGTGCTAACAACATAGCTTAAAAAAAAGTAAAACAAAATTCTGCATTTTTATAAAACTTGATAAAAAATAGTATTTCAAACTGTACAGTCACCAGAAGTACACAGTTATCAAAAATTCACACAATTCACTTGGCATCTCCAGCACCTTCAGCTTTCTGTGCCTGAAAGAAAAAGAAAACGGTTATTAACAGCACAGATGGGTGTGACGGGCAGCCAGGTTCACTGAAGATCTGAGTAAGAGTTCTATCTAGGCACTAACTCACTGCATGTCCCTGGGCAGATCCCTGCCCTTGTCTCACGAGCTGGTCCAACTCTATCACTGAAATTGTTCATTACCTCCTTCACAGGGCTACTGTGAAAAAAGCACTTTGCAAATGATAAAAAGCCCTACATATTTAACTATCTACATGTGAACAACTGACTAATCATGAATCTTGCCTGAAACCTATTTATTCCTTTCAGCATGTTTCTTCTTCCCTCCCATGACCAGATTTTCAATTTTTAGTTAAGAAGCATTGTTAGGTACTTTAAAGAGATTGACTGTTGTTATTTAAAATTCAATTAAGGGTTACTATGTGACCTAGTCAGATTTAGAGCTATCAGGAACCTTCAAGATCTAGTCTACTCCCCCCATTTTAGAGATGAGGAAAACTGAGGCCAAGAAACAGACCGTGTGCCTTGTGAGAGGCTCCACAGGTTGTAATTCCCCTCTCTGGGCCTCAGTTTCCTCATCTGTAAAATGTCGTTAGACTAGATGTTATCTGATGTCCTTTCTGGCTCTTAACATTTTTACCATTTTATGAGTGATGCTTCTGGAGTGGAGGGCAAAAATCTACGAGGTGCATGCAATATTCTCAGCAGTCTTTGGGACAGCTGGCAACACATGGCAGTGAAGGAGCAAATTTCTTATTGCAACTTAAAACGTCAGTTCAGTGAATTCCTGCTTTAAAACGGGCAGAAGGAAAAACTGCATTAACCGGAGGATACAAAATGTTCAGATCCCAATGAGATCATGCTGTTGCCATTAAATGCAATCGATAGTCTCTGAGGTCAGTAACCAGCTAAATGAGTAAGACTTTACCTGGTCTGTTTTGGCATCTCCATTCTCTGCAGGATTGTTCCCATCCTTACCGGAGTCAGCCTTTCCCTTTTTCCCTTTGGGTAACTTCTCTCCCTTCTAGTTAAAAAACAAAGATTTGGGTATCACTCATTCACAATTCACAAAATGTTAGAAAAAACTCACCAGTGATAAGAAGTGAGGACTAGGACGACTTCTACAAAATGCATGCAAATGGAGTCTCCTACTTACTCTTTTGTAATACAGTCTCATTCCACTACAGCATAATAAAGCATATATAGATACACTGTGAGATAACCTGGGCCAAAAGCTCTATTCTTTCCTAGCAGTGACCCTAGATAAGTTGATTAAAGAGGGTAATACCCGGCATGATATAATTGTCAGCCATCATAGTACATTTGTCACTTGCCTCCTTTAGTCTATAAACTCCATCAAAGCAGCTCTGGCCATATTTATCTTTGTTATCTCCCCTAGCACAAAGACCATAAAAGCCCTAAGTGTTGAGTTGAATATATAAACATTCAGATTGCAATATATAATCACAATGATCCTAAACAGCTTAAACATAGATACATAAATGAATCAAATCTAATCAGATAACCCCAGTCAAGGTTTTGTTGACAATTCCGCTTAGGGAAAACTTGAAGACGTCAAGAATACTGTAGACATCTACAAACCTGGCCTTCCTAAGCCTCAAGTTTCAAGGGGAAAAAGTTCCTTCCACTTCTAATATTCCTTGATCTCCTTTCCTCCCTCCCTTCCCCAACAGACCCAACCAATTTACCTTTGCAGGTGCCTTTTTGGGTTTGGGTTCTGGCTTTGGAGGAGCAGGTTTCTAATTTCAAAACGAGAGGAAAAAAAGATCTAAAATTAAACTTGAACTATTGACTATGAACAACAACTCAGAACTACCACGTTCTAGTTTTCATTTGAAACCTCTGGTCTCCCTTGAAATCCCCCAATCAATTCTCCTTTAAAGGCCCAAGGGAAGGGTCTAGTGTTTTGGACAAGTGTGTAATGGCCAGTTTGGACAGACGCTCAAGAGATCCCCATAAAGACAGCACTACCTCAAGCAGTTACTAGTAAGTCACACTTAAGTAAGCTTCACTCAACAGAAAATTAATTTCTTATCTATCCCAGCCTTGCAGAAACATAAAGAGAAAAAGTACTTACAGCAGATAACCGTGCTGATCTCCTCTGTGGCTAGTAAAAAAAAGTGAACAGAATTAAGTAAGTGGTAGGAAAATGAGAAAAACGGCACCAAAGAGCGCCGCGGACAGACCGGCACAAGCAGAAGGCGCTGCTAAGGCTGCCATCGGCTACCTTCGGGAGGAGGAGGAGGAGCCCCTCCAACAGGCCTGGGTTACTAAGTGCGCCGGCCCGGCCCGGCCCTCCCCCCCGCCCCGCCCCGCCCCGGCTCCGGAGGGGACGACACAAACTTACTTCGTCCTTAACCTTGGTCTTGTCTCCCTTAGCATCTCCTTCAGCCTGTAGAAAGAGGACGGGGAAAGGCTATTAGTGGGGGCAGGGGCTCCCCGGGGCCCCGCCGGAGGTCCCGAGCCGCCAGGGTTGGGTGTCTCCGCGAGAGGCAGAAGCAACAGCTGCAGATGGTGCAAATAACCCCCTTCCTCCTCCCCTCCCGCCCCCGCTGAGGGGAGGGGCCCCGGGTGCCCGTTTCCATGGCACCCGTCGAGCGCCGGAGCGCGCGCGCAGAGCGCCTAGCGCCGGGGGAGGGAAGGGGGTGGAAAGAGAGAATAATAAGTCCCCGGCGCGCGCCGGCGTGCGGCTCCGGCGCGGGCCAGGGGGGCGTGGGCGGCCGCCGCTCAGGGCGTCCCACTCCGGCTCCACCACTCGGAGCCTAGAGGCGGGGCGCGGGCACGTGGTGCAGGCCCCGCCTCCACAGAGGGGCGGTTGGCCCCGCCCCTCCCAGCCGCGCGGCGGTTTTTTGGCGGCAGCGCGTCCTTCCCCTTCCCCCGCCCCTCCCGTTCCCCTCCCCGCTCCCCCCTTCTCCCTCCCCCCCATTCCATTTCGCCCCGCGCGCGCTTCGGCTTTCCCGCCCTTCGGGTTTGAATTGCATGCCCGGAGGGGAGGGGGCTCGGCGCGCGGGGTCTCGCGGGCCCTCGAGACCAGCGGGAGGAGGATGACAGGCCCCGAGGTGGAGCAGGATCAACAGCCGCCAACATGGCTCCTCCCGCTGCCGCCGCGGCGGCCCCTCCAATATGGCCCCTGCCGCCCGCAGGCGCCGGAGCCCAGGAGCGAAGAGAGGCCGCGCTCCGCCCGGCCCCGCGGCCTCCCGCCCCGGGCCTGCCCACTCGCCTCCAGCAGCCCAAGGGGAGGCGGCGGCGGCGGTGACGGCTCCGCGCCCGAGCCGGGACCCCGCGCCACGTACCTTTCTCTTGGGCATGGTGGTGACGGTGGAGGGGCGGGAGCAGCGACAGCAGCGGAGTCTGGGTGCGGGTTGCAGCAGCGGCCGGTCCGGGGGTCGCTTCCGTCTCCTCTTCCTCACACTGCTTGGGCTCCGGGGGGGGGGGGGTTTATAAAGTTTTTATAGCGCTGGGAGCCCCGGACCGGTTAGAACCGGATTTCACCTCCCGCCGCCGTTCATTGGCCCAACTGGGGTCACGTGGGCGGGGTTTAAACTCACCTCCTCGGAGGGGATGGGGCGAGATTGGAGTGGGGAGCGCGAGGCGACTGCGCGCGGTGGGGGCGGGGGGGCACTAGGGAGACTAGGGAGGCGCGCGCTAAATACGAGGCGCAAGAGGGGTGGGCTTGGATTCCCGCCTAAGCTTGGTTTTGCAAACTCTCAAGTTCCTTCTACCTTGTGCCGCCGAACTACTTCGTTTTCAAGCAATGCACAAGGCACATTCTGGATTCCCTCCCCCTACCCCCTACCAGGGGGCCCCAAGTGTGGGGGTTGCGAGTCTCCTCCGAAGGCAGCGGTTTGTTGCGCGCAGCTTGGCAGCGCCCAAGCCTCCAGCTAGCGCTGCTCCCTCTGCTTCGCATGCACACAGCACTGAGGCAGGGAACGAACGAAGTGGGGGATACGGCTTGGTGCAGCCCGACGTGCAGCTCTCGGAGCCGCCGCTCCACGGACATCTCCCAGACAACTTACCTGGAGGCTGGTCTTTTCCCCTAGCAGAGAGGGGCTCCGGGCTGGGCGGAACCGTACTATTCGGGTGATGGGGAACCCGGCAAGTAGGCCAGATGGGAGCTGTCCTTTCAGCACCCTCCTTCACGCCCAGTGGCAGCCCCACAAACATCCCCCTACCCCCCCGCCATGGCCCCTCTAGTCACTCTCGTCCTGCAGAGTACAGGACTGAAGGCAAAAAACCTGCCACACTCCGTGAAAAACTACCCCAAGCTGTCCCAATAGGATCATTCTGTGCAGGCACAGCAAAAATGATTGGTAACTTCTTATACTTCCCAGCCCCGGTTTTTTTTTTAAACCTATCCTAAACACCTGCACAAAGAAGAGTTGCAGGGGACCCAAGAGACTAGAGGACAAACAGGGAAACGGGTTGGAAAGGGGCGTTTTCCGTGCTCCCACTGACACTCCACAAAAGGGACACTTGAAATCTGGAGAAGTAGCTGTCACCCTATAAGCAAAGCCTCACATTGCACTAGGTAGCAAACAACTTCTGGAGGTGAGACAGATACTCCTTTTTAATGTATTTGAAGCCCAGGAAACCACAGATTAATAAATAGGGGTAGAGAAGAGTGAGGCTAGATTACAGGCAGGGAGGGCCACTTAAATTAAATACCATCTGACTCCTAAGTTTAGAGTTTGATAAAAGAGATGAGGATGGAGATCATCATTTCCTTGCAACGAAGGTGTAGTCACAACAGTACAAATTCAAACCACCTATGTTTTGCAGCTCCTGCTCCAGCCTGTAACTGTGGTCTCTTTCTCTGAGCTCATTGCTGCATCCCAAGGTGCCCTGGGGTGTAACTCCTCCCTGTTCCACCCCACACACCTTTCCCAGAACCCAAAGACTGATGGCCAATTAAGGATACCAGCTCCATTAATCACCTAGGCCAATCTTGACCGATCTAGGCAGGTCGAGAAACAGGACTGCACTATTCTTCATGTCAGTCAAGCTCATCTAGAGGCCAATTCTGTTCATTGCCTCCAGCCCCTTGTTCTAGCTTAATTGTAGGGCTCCAAATTATAGCATTATAATTCATGGCTCCCTAATTAAAGCTGTCAACAGCCCCATTTTAAAGCTGGGAAATACATAGCACCTGCTCGATGGGAACCCTTAGTGCCAACACTAAGTCTGGGGGGTGGGGGTGGGGAAAGGTAGTGGCTAGTAGCCTTAATATTTCTGGAGGAAATGCCTGATTCCAAAAGTGTCCATGACAGTAAAGATACTTGAAGGCTAAATAACTGGAAAGAAAAGACACCCATTGACAGGCTGATGGGAAATAGTCTGGAAGGAACAAGAGTGTCTGGCATCAGGATGGGATTACAGCCTTACAGCTTTTGCTGCTATCCCAAGCACCTGAAGTACAGGAGCTCAGGCAAGACAGCCCCTTTCAAAGCCTCCAAGGGGCCAAGCTGGTAATCCTCTGAGCAGCTTTGTGGGTCCTGGTAGGGCAAGGAGAGCGAAAGGAAGGACACAGCCCCTGACCCTTCCCTCTGGTTCATACTGTGGAGTCCACCCCACTAAGGTTGAAAGAGAGAACTGCTACCAAGTGGAGCTTTTCCAAGATGGGTCAGACATGAGCTGTGCTTATCAATGAGGCCAAGGGAGGTGGATATCAGAGCCAACAGGGAAGAGGTATCCTTGCTTGCTGGCCTTAATATGTCCAATGGCAGGGGAGTCCCAGCCAAATGGACATACTGGTTCTTCCCAGTTAGCCAAGAGGACCAGCTCTGGCAGGGATGAGAGGCTGGCCTCATGACCCTGCCTGAGAAAAGTGTGTGTGGGCTGAGTCAACAATAGGTAATTGGATTGTCATCACAGGCCTAGTTCCACCATTGGAGGAGCCCAGGTTTTCAGCAGAGCAATCAGGGCTGCCTGACAAGCCAGGAGTGGGGCAAGATCCAACAGTAGCACTCAGGTGGAAATGCTCACGAGGGGAAGATGGCTAGCCTTCCATCTCCTCCTGACCCCGCCCTCCAAACGATCCCCAGCTTTCTGCCGTCAAAGGCAAAGCCAACTAAACCTGCAGTGAGGAAAACAGAGGCACGGGGGTAGTGGGGTGGCGGGCTGTGCTGAGCGCTTTCTGGAGTGAGGAAGTGCTCTACATCCAACCAACCATATATTAAAAAGCCCCATACCAAGGGAAGGGATGATGGTTGTTGGCTACCAGCAGCTCAGGAGGCAACAGGTCTGGAGGAACAGGCTGACTTTAGGACCTGATGCTCACCAAGTTGCCCATGGGTACTAAGATAGCTACAGTGTGCCACAAGGAAGACATTCACTGTCTGTCAGCCCGAACCATCCCCTCTGTGGGGGTTGGACAAAGAGCATCAATTGACAAAGAATCTAGCTGGGCAGAAAGGCCCAATCCTCACTGCACCTGTTCCCAGGATTACAGCAAATCTCATTATCAAAACTCAAGTTGACTCTTCTCAGGAATGCTGGATCAGGCCCTCAGCCAGCGAGCAGGAACACGTAGCGGGACGTCTGCCCTCTCACGCTGATGTCGTGCCCAGCCGTGCCAGCCACTCTTCACGTTTTCGCTCCAGAGCCTGCAGGAAGCCCTGGACACGTTCCTCCCGTCCTGATGATCGTTTGTGCAAGAGAATGAGCCGAAGCTGGCTGTCCCCACTGGGCCCACAGCCTTCCCGGAGCAGCTGCTCTGTCACTGCGGCCTGGTCACTCTCCAGCTGCTGCTTCTTTCGTTCCTCCACATACATCTCTCTGGCCTTCTGCCGGAGATAAGCAGGGGAAAGGGAGCATGGATAAGGTTCAAGCAGGGCAGAGGGATGAATAGGGTGGCTGCCCTGGACAACGAGGGCAAGAGGTAAGAGCCGGTCTTGGACTCAGGGTGACCTGGGAGGTGGTGAAGCAGGAGGAGGATCAGGGGAGATAAGGACAAGTGCTAGGGGCAGCTTGGTGACGCTGGCGAGAATCTCCACGTGCCTACTCACACCCTGGAGGCCATCAGCAGGGAGACCCAACGAGGAAGAAAGGGAAGCCCCATACAGCTCGGGCTGCTGAGGAGCTACCCTGCTTCCCTCCTCCCAATCCCATCTCTGCCTGTTCAGCTCAAACTCATCCTTCAAGCACCACCAGGCAGCAGTGAAACAGCCCTTCAAATAGACAAACCACTTACCACTTGCCTTACAACTAGCTGGAAGAAGGTATGGCGTCATTGCCTTATTTTACAGATGAAGGAAATACGTTCAAGTAGGTTAGATCTGTTCAGGGTCTGTGTCAGCGCCCTGGTTTTTAGGCCTCTGATTTCAAGTCCAGTGTTCTTCTGACATCATACTGCTCTTCTATAAAGCTCCAAGTCCTAGTTCTTTCCTTCTGAATTCCCCTAGAATTATGTTTATACCTCTCTTAGTCTACTTACTGCATTATCTCCCCTACTAAACTACAAAGTCCACTGGGGGAGGGGGGGAAGGGAGGAAATAAGCGTTTATTAAGCACCTACTGTGGACCAGGCACTGTGCTAAGTGCTTTACAATTATCTCATTTGATCCTCTCAACCACTCTGGGAGGTAGGTGCTATAATTATCTTCATGTTACACTGAGGAAACTGAGGTAAACAGAGCTAATTGACTTGCCTGGGGTCACACAGCTAGGTGGTAAGGTCTTCCTGACTCCAAGCCCTGTGCTCTGTGCACAATGGTGCCATCAGCTGCCTCCCAGGGCAATGATCTTCCCTGAACCCTTCATAGGAGAGGCAACACACCTGCAGCCCACAACCCTCCTTAGTTCATTTTAATGTGGTGCCACGTGAATGATTTCTAAGTTAACAGGCGACCAGCAGCGATTCTCCGAGTCTGCCACTGCTGCTGAGCACACTCACGGAACGTCAGAGAAGAGACCCTTAGTCTAGCTCCCTCTTGTGACGAGAGAACACTGAAGCCTGGCTCTCCTGGATTCCAGGTCTGATGTTATTTCCAGTAGCAAGGCCTCACCCTTGAAGGAGGCCAGCTAAGATCTGTTAATCAATGAACTCCTCCAGTATTTACTGTCTATATCACTCATCATGGCTCCCTGCTAGACTGTAAGCTTGTTGAAGGCAGAGACTGTGATTTATTCACCTTTGTCCTCCCTTCAGTGCCTGGCAAGTGCCTAACCTGAGTATGAACACAACACAGAATTTTAAAATGAGATCCTGATGCCCTATTTGTCTATACCACCCACCTCAGCATTCACACATTAAAAAAAAAATAACTAGACTGCACACTAGATTATAAACTCTCCTTGAAGGCAAGGACCATATTAAATTATATTCTTGGTATTGCCCAAAGCCAAGCATTGGGATCTACACATAATAAACTTCTGAGGTAGGGACTGTACTATATTTCTATCTCCCAAATGGCCCCAAATGATGTAGATTTAAAACATACTTTGTGTTACATGGATAAGACTTGGTATTCTCCAAGGTGTGCCTAGGATATCTTTTCCAGGAGCAAAGACTGGGGACTCAGGTCACGGCCTGGCACCAGGGAACAGAAAGGCCTGCTGGGTCAGAACCAAGACCGTACTGCCATCCCCCATTGGGCATTCACTTGCTAATCTGATAGTTACAGCACCTCACTCTGCCAAACCCGACTCACACCGAAAACTAGTTCTGTTAGACCAACTGCCTTCCTTCCCTCCTTTCCTAATCATCTTTCCCCATTCAGAGTGCTTTCCACTTTTACACCCACCATTTCACTTGATTTTGAGGACGCTGTCTATTAGGTGACTTGGTTGAGATCACATAGCTAGCAAGAGTTGAAGCCAGCCGGGATTAGTTCTTCTGAGGCAGCTAGGTGCCAAAACGGATCAAGATCTGAATTTAAGTCGTCCCTCAGACTAGCTATATGACCTCTCTGTTTCCTCATCCCGTGATACGGAGACAAAGAGTACTTCCCTCAGAGGACTGTTCTGAGGATCACGACTCACTATACGCAAAGAGCTTTGCAAACCTTAAAGAGCTGTATAAGCACTAGCTATCATCATCATCATCATCACCACCATTATTTTGAAACAGCCAGCGTTCTGTCACAGAATCACAGATTTATAGCTCAACGAGACCTTGGAGGTTCAACACCTTTGTGCTGATGTGTCCAAGGTCAGGGAGTAAGTAGCAAGTACTAAATAGCAAAGCCAAAATTTAAACCCAGGTCCTCCTACTCCAGATTCATTGCTCTCTCAGCTAACCATGCGGCCAAGAGCTCAGTAAGACCCGCCCTCTGACCCACTAGTCCAAATCCTTGGGCCTTTTCTGCCCCATCTGTCACGCCATTCCAGTAGAACCTAAGTGAACTGAAGGAAGTCTCCCTTCAGGAATTACATCCCCGCTGTCCAGCACACCTGGGCACTTAGACATGCTTGTTGACTGACTGACTGGCTCCATTTATTTACTGATCCATCCATGCCATTTACATAGAATTACAGAATTTTTTAAAGAGTTGGAATGGTCCTTAGAAGTCCACTAGTTTCACTGCCTCATTTTTTAAGAGAAAGAAATGGAAGCCCAGAAAAATTAGGTCATGGACTGGACAAGAGGCCTTTGAGTTAGAAGCTGGTGAACAGAGCTGGACTCAAGAGGACACAAAGGACCCTGCCTAATAGTCTATTGTCATTCAAATTTTTTTGTGGTTAAGGAAATAGCCAAATGGCTCTGCCTCCTTCAGAAAGAACAGGATTCCTAGTCAATCAGGCACATCTTTGACATCAAGGTTTTACCAAGAAGCTCTTAACACAACTTCTGGGCCAACAGGCCTTCCAGGTTATTTCACTCTGAATCACTGTGGCTATTCTCCTGCACCAAACTCATCCCAAAGAAAGGGATGAGCCAACGACCAAGCATTTGCTACCTTCCTTTCCTCCCTCTCAAGCTCCTTGAAGGCAGAGATCAGATCTTGTCTACTTTCCTATCTCACACAGTGCCCAACATAGTGCCCTGCACACAACAGGTGTGTAGTAAATATCTTCTGTGTCATGTTTGCATTTACTGAATGAACTGTATGACCAGCCTTGTGCTGGCCATGGGAGGGAGATGATGCCTATGTGAGCCATGTCATGTCTAAGGTGCAGAAGGTCTTGTTCTATGGATCTGGCCCATAGTCAGATCACGAATTGAGGAGGAAGGGCAGCATAAAAAGGGCACTGAGGAGACTATGCAGGAGCTCAGGCTCCCAGCATGCTCTGGAGCTCCTGGCCACAAGCATCAGAAATGTGAACGATCTATCCCCTCTTGTATTTGGTCTCTGCTCAACTTATCAAAAACTATTTGGCCAGATGGCTTGGTAGTTTCCCCTTCGTAAGATCATTCTTAGAGGCTGAAGACTGAACTCACAAAGCCTCAACCTCTGTTAATGATCCATTATCAATTAATTAACCACAATGGGCTCTGTTCCAAGTCAGCTTATGGCCTACAGGACAATGAACTACTAACCAGTGGGCTTTCCCAGTGTATGTCATTTTTACATCCAATTTTAGGACTGCAGCCTAGTCTTGTACTGAATACTTTTTCAAATGTAAGAGGCAGGGTATAAAATAGAAAGTATATAGAATTATAAGTCAAGAAATCAGGTTCTGATCCTGCTGTGCCACCAACTCACTTGGTGACTTTGGGGAAAAGATGTCCCCTGCCCTCAGCCTGTTTTCTCCTCTAGAAAATGAGGGGAAGGGCAGGAGTGAGTGATGTCTATGATGCCTCCAGATGTGAGCTGCTGGGATTCCATGATATTTCTGGCTGGTTCATCCACAAATTTATAATCCTTGATGAAGAGTTACAAAGATTCCTTCTCCTCCGTGCACAGAAATGAATGTGGCAAGAAGCTGACACAGATCCTGTCTCTGAAGGCTCCTCCCCTTCCCGTCCCGTCCCTCCTCGTGCCCATGGCTGCGCACCTTGTATCTTTCTCACTGCTCACCTAGAGGGCCCCTCCTGTGCACTGAGCTCATGTGACACCTGCCAAAACGGCCTTTCTTGCTTCCCTCCAACTTCTCTGAGGCCTGGCTAATCTCAAAGCCCAGCTTGAGCCCTGCTTTCTCCATGGGGCTCTCCTTGATCAACCAAGCAAGAAGTGACCTTCCTTCAAAATCCTTTTATCACTTCTTTCATTTTATAGATGAAGAAACTGAGGCCCAGATTGGAAAAGTTATTTTTTCCAAGGTTACACAGCCAGTCAGTGGGAGACTTGGGAATAGAACCTAGGTGTCCTGACTCTCTTTTCCACATATAAGCTACACTATTTAAGTGATGCACGAGCAAAAATAGCACCTTATTCTTTTGGATTCAAATATCACAGAGTTCCTCATGTTTTTCAGTATCTCTTTATGAGCACAAGTCATTTCACCAGATTCACAATCATTTCACAACTTATAGGCAGGGAAAATTTGTTGTTTTTTCTTTGTATTGGAGGTAGAGTTGTAGGGAGAATATTAATACTCACAGTCATGAGAACTGGTTTGTTCCTAGCTCTGACAGTAAATGGGTACCTTCTGACAAGTCAGCTAACCTTTGGGCCTCAATTTTCTACTCTATAAAATGGGAAGAGTATGTGATAGGCAGTGCAGGGTAATGGACAGAGGGCTGGCCTTGGAATCAGGAAGACCTGCATTCAAGTCTTGCCTCTCCTACATATTAGTGATATTATCATGGCCAGACTCTAATGTTTCAGAACCAGAGCTGTCAATCTGCCTTGTTAGAGGGAGTTTCCATACCACACATTTCCTACAAGGATAAAATCGTAGGTTTGGACCAAAAAATCCCTAAAAAACCCTTCATATCAATCACAGGGTTGGTGTAATATGAATATATCTGAAACACTAAAATGCTTTACAAATGTGAGTTACTATTGTTGTTGTTCTTACTGTTATGACTGTTTTATCTCCCTCCCTTCAGTAATGGTCATAATGATGTAAAACTTTACACTGGTTTCAGCCACTGCTGTTTCCCAAAGGCATCACAGCGTGATGCACATCACTGTGCTGTATGTGAGGGCCAGGGACAGTTGGGGCACGGCCCACGACCAGGAAATGCTCATAACCTACTCATTAGTTGCTTGCGATCACCCTGAGAAGGGTGCTGGACAGGTAATACTATCCCCATGTTAGAGAGCAGGAAAACTGCTTTAGAGAGGCAAAGTGGCTGCTTTCTGAAGGAAGCCCTTTGATTCCAAGGCCAAGATTCCTGCACTCGACTGCCATATCCACAGGGTGACCATAGCTACACTCAATAAACATCTTAACTAATTAAGCTCACAGGTAACTTTTCTCAGAGTCAATCAACACACCTTTACAAGCCCAAGAACAAAATCATGGCCCTGGAAAGTAGACAGCCAATTCCTCCTCCCTGAACTCAGTCGGGACACTTCAAAACTCTTGTGGCACACACAAAAACCACAGTTCTCTGTCATCCTATCAGGTGAATGTAAGCTGGCCAAAGCTACCAGCAGATGCCAGTCTAGACTACTGCCCTACTGGTCTTAAGGAGGACTGATTTATTTCTAGATTTTGTTTGCTCCTGGAAATCCTGCCAGGTGGTACCAGAGAACCGGCCACAGAGCTGGACTGGCTAACGGATTACAATGCGTGCCAAGCACCTATAGGGTCCTGATCTGGGGGCAGGGCTGGATGGAGAAGAAGATTCAACAGCCAGAATTGTAGCCACAAAGTCCATGTTCCTTATTCAATCAAAAGCAAGGTCCACGGGCCTCCCTTATTCAAAGCCTACCCTGCCTTTTATTTTAGACACAATTCTAATGAGCTAGATTATCTAGTCTTTCCAGCCTACAGCAGATGTGAAGCAGCAAATCAGAAAAGATGTAGATTGGTGCTAGAGGCAGGCAGAGTGACAGCAGGATGACTTTAAGTCATCAAGAAGGGTTGAATTATATACAGTATACTCTGTTTAAGAAGGCAGGGAAGCATGTAATGTATTTTAGAGCAATTTCCATTTAAAAAATAGTTACATTTTAAATGAAAAGATTCAGCTCTTAGAGAGGTAAGCTTTAAGTAGGTGGAAAATTCCCCTACGTGGAACAGTTCATTCCCCTGTGATGTTCAATACATGAGGCATTACTGTACTTCCTTCAAGTCTGAAGGAGATGGTTGTAAAGCACACTGAAGAAGGGCCCCAGGTTCTTAGGCCAAGCAGCATGATGTTTGTCCTGGGCCTATCCCTTCAGTGACAAAGAGTCTGAATTACGTAGAAGCCACTGCATCTGCCCCCTCCCTGGATATTACCAGAGGTACAGCAAACACAACTGCGAGGCCAAGAGACCCTACAGCTTTATTCAAGAGCCACTGACTGCTGATGCTCCGCGTGACTCGGGCCTCATCCACCACCAAACCACTCTGATAATCTCAGGCAACAGAGGGCCGCAGTGCCGACAAGCCCCCTCTGCGGGGACAGACGCCCTCCACCTCTTCCCTTCCCCTGCCTTCTACCCAGTAGACTCTGGGGCTCTTACCTGCAACATGCTGTGGTTCATCTGGAACTGCAAGATGGCTTCGCAGAGGTTCCAGAAGGAGTATTCTGGCCAGAGGATGGGCTGGAACACCAGGCAAGAGTGAGACGTCTAGCAGGGGTGGGCAGAGAAGGGAAGAAGATGAGCACAGCTCAAGCATTCCACCTGTGAGACCTCACTATCCTGCCCTGACAGCCCAGTCCCAGGAGGTGGGACGTGACTAAGGGCAGATGCTGAGAGACTCCGGGGAAAAAGCAAAGCAAAGCAGTGTGGTGGCTGCAGCGCCAGACTGTGAACTGGACAATGAGGCTTGGATACAAATCCCACCTGATATTTACTTGCTTTGTGACTCTGGGCGATTTCAATCCCTTCACCTCTCTACCTTCGTGTTTGATCTGTAAGACGGGGACACTACTACTTATGAGGAAGCTGAGGCAGCTAGATAACACAGTAGGCTAAGAGAGCCAGAAGGTCCTGAGTTCAAATCCCACCTGAGAGACCTACTAGCTGTGTGATCCTGGACAAGTAGTTTAGCTCGTGTCTGCCTCAGTTTCCTGATCTGTAAAACGAGCATAACAACCGTGCCTCCCTTTGGGGGAGGCGACGATCAAAGGCAAGAATGTGTAAAGTGCTTTGCAAACCTTCGAGGGCTGTCGCTGCTGTGCTCTTCCTTAACAGTGCTGCTTGACCGAGGGGCTGCCAAGTTCAGCAGCCAGCATGTGCCTAAAGCCCTCTGTGGGCCTTTGAGTGCTGGGTAAATGCCCTCATTTTTCACGGCTGCTCCAAAGCCAGAAGGATGTGAGAAGTTATCTAGTCCACAATCCCCTCCAGTTTCTTGAGAAGTTTTTCTCCTCAGTGGAAGCCCATTTCATCAGTGGACAGTTTTGTTCTTTCTCAGACTGAGCCACCAATTGACCATGATCCCCACTTGTTGGGCACAGCTCTGCCTCCCCTCTATACAAGGGCTCCTCAAAATCTCTCAAAGACAGTAATCATATATCTTTTTAGTCTCATCTTTAGGTTTAGTCACTTCCTTCGACTATTCCTCATATGGTTTCCAGACTCCACCCCTCAAGTATCCTGCTTTCCCTCTTCTGGACTCTCCCACTTGTTAACCCCACTTAAAAAGTGGCCTGAATACAATAGGCCAGATGTGGTCTGACCAGTACTAAGGACAGTGGGCCTATCATTTCCCATGACTGAATACCTATTTCTATTAAGACAGCTCAAGACTGCATTGGCTTACTACATGGTCTTTTCATCAAAGCTTGTGGTCAGTTAAATTCCCCCCTCCTTTTTCACCTGACCTGCTGAAAAGCAGGCTTCCCCCACAGTTTGTACTTTGTTTTGCAGATAATCTGCTGTTGCCAAGGACCACTCCCTTCAATGCCCAGCTGGACCCCAGCATCTATGTGTATGGGTGGGCAATAGTTCTAAAGTCAAACAGATTTTCACTGACATGAGTGACTAGGGATAAAGTCGAGTTTGCACAGACAAGGTCTACGTCACAGGCTGCGCCCCTCTAGTAATATTTCCAGCGTCATACGGTGAAAACACCACCACGTCTGAGAGTCAGAGAAGCAGGGTTGGAATGCCCTCATCCTATGCTTATTCAAGGAATGCACATCACAAACTCCCTGGGCCTGCTTCCTCATCTCTAAAAGGAGGAGATGGCTTCTAGAGTCCCTTCAGGCTCTACATCCATGATCCTAAGACCACCACGAGGCAGCTTGGATTTTCCTCCTCGTGTCTTTAGCTGTGCTCCCCAACACAACACCGGCAGAGTCATAGGTACATGGGAAGGGAGGAACAGAACTCTCACCAAGTGGATGAAGAGAGAGAAAGATGTCATCAGCTACACAGCCTGAGGCCCCCTTTATCAGACTGTCAAACATGTTGAGCGAAACCCAGTCAAAGGAGAGACTACATTCCATAAGCCTGTCACTTTTCACACATTTTTCCACGGATCCTTGTACTACAGACAATATCACACAGTCTGTTCACTCTTCTTATAAGGAGAGCTCTTCAAATTATCTGAAGAAATCTATCATGTCTCCCTCAAGTTCTCCAGGGGAAAATTCCTTTACTAATTCCTCAGATTCCTTGCCCTTAGTTTCTAGTTGTTAAAGTCGCTCTTAAAGAGGATGCCCAAACTGAGAAGATGTGGTCTGGGTAGACTTAAGTGTGACAATCACTTTCCTTGAGTAGCTCGTGTGTTTCTATCAATGCAGCCTAAGGGAATATTCTTCCTAGTGGCCAGGAGGAAGTAGGAACAATTTTTCTGAGAGGCCCTCTGTTCCTCAATAGGCCCATGTCTCTTCATTCTTAAAAAACCTTCACTTGACCCAACCATTCACATCAGTCTTGGCTAAAGGACAGTCTAGGCTTTTATCTCCCCTTGGCTTTCCCCTTGTTGTTTACACTAGACACATAGACCAAATCTCCTTTAACTTGATTCTAAAACCTTTACAAATTGACCTTTGACTGAAACTATTTTTCTGAAATTGTTGTCTCCAGTTACCAGTGATCTCTTAACTGCCAAATCGAATGGCCTATTCTAGTCCTCTCGCTTCTTGACCTCTCTACAACCTGACTGACCTTGCTGAGCACCCTCTCCTAGACACTCTCTTTTCTCCAGCCATTCATGACACTGCTCCCTCTTGGTTCTTGACCTACCCATCTGCTAGTCTTCAGCTTCCTTTGCTGAATCTTCACCTAAGTCCCCCCCACTAACCGAAGGCTCAGTCCTGGGCCCTCTTCTCTTCTCCGTCTGTGCCGTTTTGCTTGCTCTCACCAGCTACCAGGGAGTTCAGTTATCATGTCTACGTAGTAGCTGACTCCTGAGCTTCATTTCCTGACCTAATCTCACTCCAGAGCTCCTGCAATACTGTCTGCCATTTGTACAACTTGAATTGAATATCTTGTAGGCATCTCAAATTCCACCAGTCCTAAACAGAACTCATTATCTTTTCCTCCAAAGCCTCCCCCCTTCCTTATCACTGTTGAGAATACCACTGTCCTCCCACTCACCCAAGCTGCCATCATGCACTCCTGAATCTCCCTCACTCCATATGTCCAACCTGTGGCCACATCCTGTTTCTACCTTTACATCCTCCTCTGTATGGAAGTCTCTCTACTAACACAGCCACCACCTCTACCTATGCAGGCCCTCATCAACTTTTGCCTGGACTACTGCAATAGCCTTCTAATGATCTCCTTGCCTCAACTCTCTCCCTATTCCTGTTCCTCTTCCATTCGTCTGTCAAAATGATTTTTCTAAAGCACAAGTCTGACCAGGATTCAGCCACCAGGAAGGAATTCAATTAACAAAACTCACTTCTCTGATTCTAACATCCAGAATCATACAGCTTAATAAGTAAACCAGTTGCCACTGGATGTACAAATGATTTTTGCATGTTGTTTATATGGAACAAATGATCTAAGTGTTTGGGGATGAGGACCAGATTACTGAGGGTGGTAGTGGCAGGGGCGGGCAGGAGAGGGGTGTTGGATTATAGGTAGCTAAGACAATAATAGGGCCATTTTAAAAAAAGCTGATGATGTTTTAAATAAATGAATTCCAGACTCAGAGCTGGAAGGATTCTTAGAAGCATTTGAATCCAACCTCTCATCCAGCATCGGAATTCCCCCTCCAGGATCCCTGCATGACAGATGGTCACTCTGTCTTGGCTGGAGCGCAGCTGTCGACAATTGGATTCGGAGGGAAGAGAGCGTTTCTAGCCGTGGCTCTGCCACATGCTACACCTTGGGCTCTGCAGACCTCATTTCCTCATGTATAAAATGAGGCATTTGGCCTCCTATGTGATTTCCAAGGTCTCTTCCAGTTGTAAAACCCATGATCTCTCAACTACGGGAGAGAAAAGTAAAGTGTCCCAGATACTTATGGGCACTGCAGAAGGCAAACTGAAAGCTAAAAGGGCCAAGAGATGGATCCTGAAGTTCAAAGCCCTCCCTTTACAGATGATGTCTTCTTCTGTACTGCTAGCCTGTCGGTCCCATGAGGCCGTGAACCTCCACAGCTGCTGCCTGGGAGTCCCAGTGTGAGGTGGCATAAATAGCACCGGCCCTGGATGCAGTGCACATGGGCTTAAATCCTACCTCTGAGGCTTGCAGCCTGTCACCCCACCCTGGAGACTAAAGAAGGGGTTGGAGTGAGTGGTCTCTGGGGTCCTTTCCTGCTCAAGTCTGGTATCCCTGAGGGGCAGATCCATGTACCTTTTTAAATGTATAAAACCGAAAACTGAACATAATGCACTATATATGGTCTGACCATGGCACAGTATGATGGAATTGTTACCTTCCTAAAGGATTCAAGATGATCTCTCAAGGTTCCCAATTACTGTTGAGACAGTGCTGGTTATGAGAAAGTCTTCCTCTTATCCACCCATATCCTGCTTCCCTGGCTAATATGTGCCCTCATTTGTCAAGAGGGTGATAAGGAGATTAAAAAATCAACACCAGAAAATTGGTTGAAAACCCAGGAGTATTTACCCTAAAAAGTGGGGGTCAGGATAGGGTGGTGGTGCTGGAGAGAGGAACACCTGATTACCTAGCCCTGCTTGAAAGAGTATTAATTTTGTTGAAGAAGGAGGGCTGAGGTTTGCCTTCCTTGACCCCAGAACCAGAACCAAAGGGTGGATGTTAGAGGCATCTTTAGACTCAATATTTAAGGGGGGAAATATCCCAAAAGAGCTTCCTAAAAGCTTCAATAGGCTTCCCCTAGAGGCAGTGAAACGTTGCATCATTAAAGGCCTCTAAAGCAGAGGACAGATGCTCACAAAGCGGTTCATGCCTTGGTCTACATGACCACTAAGGTCTCTTTCAGTGAAGTCTTTGTCCTGACTTTTTCTCCCTTCCATACACTGGGCCTTCAGCTATCAAAAGACTGACTATGGGCCTTTTCTTGCAGCTATTTTTACTTTGGGATTGATATCCTCAGTTCCTACAACGGAGTGTTCGTAAAACTTCAATTGTCTTCAACACGCTCTGACACGTCAATATGGTCTCTCTTGTAAAATCTCGCACCCAGAGCCGAACACAATACTCTGCGTGGGGTCTGACCAGGGAAGAATATGATGAGACCAGCACGTCTCTAAAGCTAAACTTAACATCAGTCTGGTTCCTAACGTCACACGCTCTGAGGGCAGGGTGAGACAGTGGAGAGCCAGTCTGGGGTTAGGAAGAAGCGGCTCCCACCTCTGACATACTGATAGAAGTAGGTCACTTAATCTCCCAGTGTCCTGGGCAACTGAGACTACAAACTGCAGATCAGCTGCCAGGCTGCACTGCTAAAGAGAATTTCCTCAAAAGGAAATCCAGGCTGAAAAAGAGAGATTAAAAAAAAAAAAAGACAATCCAATTTATATTTATGCGACACATCTGTACACATCTGGCTCTTATAAATGCTCTCCAGATTAGGAGTACTAACAAGGAGAGGGGAATGAGACGAAGTCTGTCTTGGTATTTGAGGACTATCTTCTCTACCTCATTACACCAAGGCTCAATCGTTGTACACAGAGATCTGCCTCCAAGAAGTTCACAGACTAAAGGGACGCCTAGGATAGGAACAAGCCAATGGCCATAAAGCACCTTAACTAGGTTATTTCTCCCTGCCAAGCTCAACCCCTCCCTCTATGTGGGCACTTGATCCCAGGTACTCCCATTTTCTCCAGCAGACTGCATCCTCAATCGTGGCCCCCTCAAATGTTCATCCTCTCCCTGCCCACTGGTTCCTTTCCACTGCCTTCAAATAAGCCCCAGTCTCCCCTTCTCTCTCTCTCTCTTTTTTTTTTTGAGGCAATCAGGGCTAAGTGACTTGCCCAGGGTCACACAGCTAGTGAGTATCATGTGTCTGAGGCCAGATTTGAACTTCGGTCCTCCTGACTCCAAGGCTGGAGCTCTATCCACTGCGCCACCTAGCTGTCCTTAAAACTCCCCTTCTCAAGCAAACTCCTCACTGCCTCTACTTGTCTCCTTACTCACTTCCCAGGCCTTTGCAATATGGCTTCCAAATTCATCTCTCAACTGAAATGACTCTCTCAAAATAAATCAGCTGCCATTAACTTCCTATGACGACCAAATCTGAAGGTCTTTTTCCAGGCCTCGTCCTGCTGCGTTTGCCATCCCTGACTATGCTTTCTCCTCCTGCAGACTACCCCTTCTCTGGCATTTTGGGATGCTAGTCTCTCCTGCTTCTCCTCCTGCTTGTCTGACTGAGCCTTCTCATCCTCCTGCGCTAGCCTCTAATGCTCCCTCACTGTGGGAACTTCACAAGAGTCTGTCCTAGGCTTTTTCTTTTCCATCTACTCATCAGCTTCCATTGATCTAACTACCAACTCTATGTAAATGATTCCCAGATCTCTATCTCCAGCTCCAATCCCTCTCCTAATCTTCATCACTGATGTCCTGTCCTACACCGGGCATGCAGGCAGATTTCGGGTGGCCTGTGAAAAATGTAGAGGATGTAAAACAGGTCTGCACAACATACTGCCTGCAGGCCACTTTAGCGGGCTGCATGTTGTGTAGGACTGTCCTACATAATGAATTCCCTACTGGGCACTTCAAGTGGGATGCCCCAGATATGCGCAACATAGCTGAAATAAAACTCATTCTCTTTCCCCCAAACCCTCCCTTTCTTCCTAACTCCTCCTTTCTGTCCAAGGCATCACCATCCTTTCAGTATCCCAGGACTCTTCCCACAAATCCAATCAGTTGCCAAATCTTGCTCTTTGTACTTTCACAACATCCCTTGTATCCAACCCCTTCTCTCCATTCATAGCTACCACCTGACTATAGAGATCCTCATCACCTCAACCAGATTACTGCAACAGCCTCCTGCTCAATCTCCCTGCCTGAAGCTTCTCCTCATCTCCTGTCCATTCCACACACTGACGGCAAAGGGCTTTTCCTTAAGCCCAGATGTGACTATGTGACTCTCCTACTCAACCAGCTTCAGTGGCTTCCTGGAGCTTCTACGATAAAATATGAACCCCTCGACGTAGCTTTTAAGATCCTGACACCATCTGACCTCGACTGACCTTTCCGGTCTTAAGGGACACTACTCACAAGCTTAATAAACTGTTTGAGTCAATTCCCCCAACTGTAAAAGGAGATGTTTGGCTCAACATTCCCAAGAAACAAGCATTGGAGGACACAGGAAAACGTCTGACTCTGGGCAGACTTCCAGATTTTGATCCAGTGATGAGGTTTCACAGGACTAGGTACAGATATTCCTGAAATTGCTCCTACCCAACCTTGGCATTTAACCCCTTATTTATAAAATTTAGCACACACTTTTTCTTTGGTACTTAAGGACTAGGGATTTTTAAAAAAGTATTCCAAAAAGCAATAAATAGCACTTATTTTGAGAAGGACAGTAACAAGTTGAAGTCTATTCAGAGGAAGTGAACCAGGATGATGAGGGAATTCAAAAGTATGCCACATGAGGTTCAGCTAGTGAACGGAAGAGGTCTAGCCTGGAGAAGACGAGCTTGGGAATGGACCTCTCTCTCTCATGCACACAGATGCCTGCTGCCAGCTTCTACATATTAAAGTGCCTACTGAGTGCAGGACTTTGCACTGCACTCTCTGTAAGTGTACGAAGGCCTGTCCTGTGGACAAGGGCTTCAATTTGTTCTGCCTGGCCCTCTATGAGCAGGACTAGTGATAATGGGAAGAAGCAGATGTAGGATGACTTTAAGGAAAACCTTGCGATGATTAAAGTTATTCCAAAGTACAATGAGCCGCCTCAAGAGGCCGTGAGTCGCTCATCACTGGAAGTCTTCAAGCAGGGGCTGTGTGACCTGCTGTTGGAAATGCTGCAGCGGAAGGTTCATGCTTTGGGTCTGGACTGGATCTGGTTACTTGGAAGTCTCTTCTAGCTCCAATTCTGTAACCATCCCAGCTTCTCTCGATGGCTCCCCCAGGTAGGTGGAGAGAGCAGATGAGGTCCTGACAGGAAAAACATTCCCTGGACCGGTTAGCTTCCTCCTTGGTCCTCTCAAGTCCTAGTGGCACAGGACCCTTGGAATGACTGACTCATCTAATCCTTGCTCCCAGGACCTTCCCTGCTGAAGGATACCTACCTGCCAGAGCAAGAAGTCACTCAGCCTCACTTCCCCCGAAGTCCGTATCAGGATGTCCGGATTGGGGGAGTTGTTGGTGTAGAGACACTTATCGAGTAGAGACTCTGACACATCACTGAATGAGGGAAGACAGACAGATGCACATTCAGCAGTGAAGTGAGCAGTCTCCCAGACTCAGTGTTAGACTTTCACTCCTCCCCCTGCCACTCATCCAGGAAGAAAGGAATCTGCATCTGTACTGCCTCTCTGGCAAGAAACTTTCCTCAACCAAGGACAGCAGTTATTTGAAAGGCTTCAATTAGGTTTCAACACTTAGCCACTCTAGTTTCCAGAATTATTTTGGCTTCTCTATCTCCAGAAATAAAAGAAAAGGAATTCTGCTGGTGCTGTTACATCTTAGGAGATTCAGAGACAAAAGTAAAAGAATTTTGTCTGTGTTGATGGTGACTATCCGAAGAGTAAACTGTCTCAATCTCCCTCACGTGCAGAATAGGAAAATCAACTCCACTATTTTGAGGGAAGTGATCATGCATTTCTTAAAAACTCACTATGAGGGGGCAGCTAGGTGGCACAGTGGATAGAGCACTGGCCCTGGAGTCTGGAGGACCCATGTTCAAATCCAGCCTCAGACATATAACACTCACTAGCTGTGTGACTCTGGACAAGTCACTTAACCCCAACTGCCTCACCAAAAACAAACAAACAAAAACAACCAAAAAAATCTCACTATGAGCCAGGCACTTTATAATTATGATCTCATTTGTTCCTCACAACAACCCTAGAAGGTAGGTGCTATTATTATCCTCATTTGACTGCTGAGGAAACTCAGGCAAACAGAGGTTAAGTGGCTTGCCCAGTGTCAAATAGCTACTAAGTATCTGAGGCTGGATTTGAACTCAGGTCTCCAGACCCAGTGCTATCTCACTGTGCTACCAGCTATTCTCACTAGAGCTTTGGTTCCCAGTCAATAGCTCTTGGAGTGGATCTTCAAGGTAGAGCCACCCAGGAGCCAGAAGACTTGGAGGTGGGTCCTTACTCTGAGATTTACTAGTTAGATGCTGTGGGTTTCCTCACCTCTTTCTGCTTTTTCATTTGTCAGACGGGGTTAATCATTCACACATAATATACCTCACAGCACTGGGGGTGGAAGTGCTTTGTATACTGTAAATTACTCTATAAAAAGAGTTAGTACCATTAGCACCTAAAAGAGAAAAAAGATTAAGGCTGCCACTTAAGAGTTTCACTGCAGTGGGGCTCCAGCTGGGATTCCCTTGATCTACTATTCAATCTGTCCTGGCAACATGATGTGGTACAAAGAGATCTGGGCTGGGAGTCAGAAGACTGAGGCTCTAGTCACGGTCATTACTGTGCTGGGTGATGTCAGGTACAGCATTTCCCTGGCTAGGCTTCATCGGCAAATGGGAAGACTTGCTGATTGCAGATAACAGGCAGAGTTCAAACCCAAGGTCAAAATAATTTTAGTGGAGCCAAGATGGTGGAGAAAAGGCAGGGACTTGCCTGGATGCTCCCAAATTCCCCTCCAAAAAACTTTAAATAACATTTCAAAACAAATTCTGGAGTGGCAGAATCCACAAAAGGATGGGATGAAACAATTTTCCAGCCCAAGACAACTTAGAAGGTTGGCAGGAAAGGTCTGTTCCACTGGGGTCAGACTGGAGTGCAGTCCAGCGCAGTCAACACCCCAGCAATAGGCCTTGGGGGCCACTCAATCAGCAGCAATGGCTTTGGCAGCTCACAGAGGACCCTTTACTGGCATCAGCATTGCCCACACGTGGATCCAGGTCCCAGGGCAAGGAGGAGCACTAGCACACCAAATTTCGTGGCTGCGGGGAAGCAGGGACCCTGGTCACAGTTCCAGGGTGGAGAGGAGTGGTCACTCACAGACCAGAGCACAAGCAAGAAGAGTAGTAAACACATCTCTCTGTAGATCACTCCACCTCGGAGGAACTGAAAACTCACACCCACCTCCAGAACTAGCTCTGGAAACAGCTGCACAAAAAATGTGAAGCTTGGAACAGTACCCCCTCAACTGCAATGGCAGAGCCCAACTTTAGAATAAAGTTAAAAGTCAAGAAATAGGCTGAAAAAAATAAGCAAACAAAAAAGAGCCTGATCATAGAAAGTTGTTATATTAAAAGGGAAGATCAAAACACAAACTCAGAAGAAGACAGCATCAAAATGGTTACATCCAAAGCCTCAAAGAAAAAAAAGTGAATTGGTCTGAGGGTCGAAAAGAATTCCTAAAAGACGTCAAAAAGGATTTTAAAGCTCAAATAACAGAGGTAGAAGAAAAATTGGGAAAAGAATTTGGCAAAGGAGGCATAGAAAAAATACTGAAGAAACTAACACTTTAAAAAACACAATAGGCCAAATGGTAAAAGAGGTACAAAAATCCACTGAAGAGAAGAACTCCTTAAAAAGCAGAATTGGTTACATGGAAAAAGATGCATAAAAATTCACCGAAGAAAAGAACTTAGAAAGTAGAACTGGGCAAGTGGAAGCTAATGACTCCGTGAGACATCAAGAAACAATGAAACAAAATTAAAAAATAGAATATGAAATATCTTGTTGGAAAAACAAGTGACCTGGAAAATAAATCAAGGAGAGATAACGTAAGAATTTTTGTACTACCTGAACGCCATGATTTCTAAAAAAGAACCTAGACATCATTTTTCAAGAAATTATCAAAGAAAACTGCCCTGATATGCTAGAACCAGAGGGTAAAACAGAAATGGAAAGAACTCGCTTTTGCTACATTGAAGAGATCCCAAGACGAAAACTCCCAGGAATATTAAAGCTAAATTGCTGAGGTCCTCGGTCAAGGAGAAAATATTGCAAGCAGCCAGAAAGAAACAGTTCCAATATCGTGGAGCCACAGTTAGGATAACACAAGATTTAGCAGCTTCTACATTAAAGGATTGGAGGGGTTGGAATATGATATTCTGGAGGGTAAAGGAGCTAGGATTACAACCAAGAATCATCTACCCAGCAAAACTGAATACAGTTCTTCAGGGAAAACAATGGATGTTCAATGAAACAGAGGACTCTCAAGCATTCTTGATGGAAAGACCAGAGCTGAATAGAAAATCTTTCATACACAACACTGGAGAAGCACAAAAAGGTAAACAGGAAAGAGAAATCATGAGGGATTCAATAAGGTTAAACTGTTTACATTCCTACATGGGAAAATGATACTTGTAACTCCTAAAAACTTTCTCATTATTAGGACAGTTAGGAGGAGTATACATAGACAGAAAGCACAAGTGTGAGTTGAATATGATGGGATATTTTTAAAAAATAAATTAAGGTTTGAGAAAGAGGAATGCACTGGGAGAAGGAGGAAGGGGGAGGTAAAGTAGTATAAATTATCCCACACAAAAAAGGCATCAAAGAGCTTTTATAGTGGAGGGGAAGATGGGGGAGGTAAGGGAGAAGCACTTGAACCTTACTCTCATTGGAATTGGCTCAAAGAGGGAATAACACACACTCAGTTGAGTACAGAAATCTATCTTACCCTATAGGAAAGTAGCAGGGAAGAGGAATAGGGGACTGTTGGAAGAGACAACAGATTGGGGGAGGCATGAGTCAGAAGAAACAAAACACTTTTGAGGAGGGATAGGGTGAAAGGAAGAGAGAGAATAGAACAAACGGGGAAAACAGGATAAAGGGGAAGTTTCTCTGATAAAGGCCTCATTTCTCAAATACACAGAGAACTAAGTCAAATTAATAATAATAACAAGTCATTCCCTAATTGATAAATGGTCAAAAACAGTTTTCAGATGAAGTAATTAAAGCTATTTATAGTCATATGAAAAAATGCTCTATTAGAAAAATGCAAATTAAAACAACTCTGAGATACCACCCCACACTTCTCAGATTGGCTAATATGACAGAAAAGGAAAATGACAAATGTTGGAAGGAATGTGGGAAAATTGGGATGCTGATGCATTGTTGGTGGAGTTGAGAACTGATCCAACCATTTTAGAGAGCAATTTGAGACAATTCTGGAGCAAAATACTATAAAACTGTATATACTCTCTGACCAAGCAATACCACTACCAGGTCTGTACCACAAAGAGATTTTTTTTTTAAAGGAAAAGGACCTATACATGCAGAAATATTTATAACAGCTCTATTTGTGGTGGCAAAGAACTGAAAATTGAGGGGATGTCCATCAACTGGAGAATGGCTGAATAAGTTGTGGTATATGACTGTAATGGAATACATTGCGCTATAAAAAACGATGAGCAGGATGCTCTCAGAAAAACCTGGAAAGACTTAACATGAAGTGAAGCAAAGCGGTGAAATGAGCAGAACCAGGAGAACATTTTTCACAGTGACAGCAACACTGTACAACGATCAACTGTGAATGATTCTCAATAATGCAATGATCCAAGACAATTCCAAAGGACTTATGAAAAATGCTATCCACCTCTAGAGAAAGAATTGATAGAGTCTGAACGCAGATAGAAGCATATGTTTTTTAAACTTTTTTTTTGGTTTGTGTTTTCTTTTATAATATGACTGATATGGAAATATGTTTTGCATGACTGTGCATGTATAGCCTATATTAAATTGCTTGTCTGCTCAAGGAGTGAGGAGGGGAGGGAGGGAGGAAGGAACAGAGAGGATTTGGAACTCAAAATTTTAGAAAACAAATACTAAGAGGATTCTAGGGATGTCATCAGGAAAGTGTCAGCCCAAAATGTAACCAATGTGAAACAGTCACATGGGAAATGGCTGCTGAAATGGAAGGGGCCTTGTGCAAACACAGTAAGCAAAAAGAAGAGGGGGAGTCAAGATGGAATACAAGAAAAGGAGGGAGACTGCTATACTCTGTCACTGTTTTTCTAGCACCGTCCAGAGGGAGAAGACACAGTCTAAAAGACGGGAATACTATGATCATTGAACTACTACACTGCTTTGCCAGGAATCTTGATGCTAGAGAGTGGAAACCCTGGAAGGGGGGCAATGAAAATTCTAGAAATTGAGAGTGTTTCATTCTCTTTGGGCCTTGAATATTAATAAATTGGTCTCAGTACAAATTTAGCCTTGTGTACTCTGTATTACCTTAGAACTTAATCATCTGGAGATTAATGTGAACATCTGAGTTCAGGATTGAAACGTTCAGACCGTGATAAGTCCTGGCAACAATCTGTCACTCTCTTTATCTACATTGCTAGACCCATCTCTGAGAACTGTTAAGCAAACACGACATGAAAGTGTTTGGGACAGACAGTCTGAATTAGGTGGGAAGAGCAGTGGCCCAAGAGCCAGTGGATTTGGGCACTTACTGCCCCGTGTGTTGTTTCTTTACCTGTAAAATAAGGGAGGCAGCATGGTCTAGCAAAAAGCCTGCTGGACTTGGGAGAGGCCTGGGGCTGAATCAGAGCTCTAACTTTTTTTTTTTTTGGAGAATGGGATTCCCTAATCTCAAGCAGGCAGGAAGCCCAGCAGCCACTCTGGCCCCACCCCATTCCCCCAGAAGCGCTGACCTTCTGTTTCAGATCTGGATCAGTGTGTTCCTCCACAAGCAGCCTGGAGGCCAACTGCTCCTGGGGCTCACTGTCCCAGTGTGACACTTGGTACAGGACTTGATGTAGACACCCACGTTAAGGTTTAGGCTGACTGCCACTCATGATACCCAGCTCACAGTATCCCTCAGCCTCAGCTGCCCCCAGCAGCAGGGATCACAGGCACGTACCACTCCAGCAGGCCCCAAGCTCTGACACTCAGGCTGGGTGACCCTGCTAAGCCAGTTTTCTTACTTACAAAATGGGAAGATTCATACTCAAGATACCTGCTTCAAAACTTTGTTCTGAGAAAAGTACTTTATGGTCATGAAAGCACCATACACATAGGGGTTACTATCATTATTAATTTACAACTCTGTAAGCTCTAACATCTTAAATTAGGATGAGCTCTTTGGACAGGGAAGAGTACCCTATAAAATACTGCACTTCCAGGGTCTCTGGTACTTTCTCCAGACACAAACAGAAACTCCTCTTGTAGAAATTGGTTTAAAAGAGGTCTTATCAGTTAAAAAAATCCTGGTTGGGAAGCTGGTGGCTGGCCAGGTTTTTACTGTGAGAAGGGAGGTTGGTTTCTGGATCCTGTTCACCCTTGGCTGTCCAGGCTGGTAGCATCTGTCAGTTTTCCCGGCTCGGCAGAGCCTTGAGACGCCCAAATCGTCTCCAATCCACAGGCAGCCCTGGAGGTGGCTTTTAGTGGAAGGAAGCTCTAGTTTCCATTTCTCCAATATCATCGTTGCCCACAGTGTTGGCATAGGGCTTTAGTGGAGAGCAAGGAAGAGTATTAGTTACTCATTATGATATTAATGACTCAAATTAGTAATCTCGCCAACTGGTCAAGATCCTTTCAGTCAGAAAAAAGTTCTGGCCCACACAGCAGGCAGCCCAATAGGAAACAGAATAATGTTTGTTTTGTTTGCCATCAGATACCTGAATTCTGCTTGAGATCTGCTAGCAACAAAAAAAACAAAAGCAGCCCATTCCCTCTGCATGCTACATTACTGTGTCATGTACATGAAAGGGATGGACAATCAGGGATGACAGAAGTAGGCAATGTTTTTCACTCCAAATGGCATTTACCTAACTCCGACTTCCAGAAACCTCCCTCCAGGAGGGACGCTCACTCTGAAGAGTAAACCAGAAAGCATGAGGAGACAGCCTCTCCACCAAACCTTGCCTTTGACGCAGGCAACTGAGAAACCTGTTCAGAGGATACCTGTTGACCTATTGTCAGAGGATGATATTTCATCATTGCTGGCTTTAAAGTGTCTTCACTTTCTTGTAGTCTGACTTGGTAGTGAGTACAGAAACCTCAACCCAGAAGCTGGGCCTGTGACTTCAGAGTTGGAACCAAATTGGAGATCACCCCAAACCTTCTCTTGTACCACCTTATTTTGTAAGCTATTGGTTGCCAAGCCTTGAACTCAGAAGCTGTCCTGGTAGTCCCCAGTCCTGCCACTGTGACAGGGAGAATGTGCTGGAGGACTGGAATGTCTCTGGCATGGGCTTATTCCCAACCCCAAATCACCAGTGTGGGTAGTCAAGTTAGTCAGCATGTTAGGTAACAAGGGCTACCTGGGATCCAGTAAACCTTGCTCTACTCCCCATGCCATTTCTTTCACAGCATTGCTGATTTCATGTCGGGATGTGTAGGCAAAGCAGACATTCAGGAAACACCTGTAAAGGAGAAGAACAAAACTAAATCACTAAGAAGTCAGGGACGTGGGAAGGAGGGGTGGGGTAGAGCCTAATTCATAGCAGCCCTGATCTGTAAGGGTCACTTAAGTCAGCTATGAAAAACCTATCACCAACTAAACTTTGTTCACTCCCAAGACAGAAAGAAAGGGAAGTCTTAAAATTCCACACCACACTTCGTTTGTCTTCTGGTAACCTGGGAGGAGATCCAGCCACAGTGGCAGAGGAAAGAGGCAGGGAGATCCAAAAAGGAAGCCTAAGATGATCTGAGCCTCTTCTCTTTTCTAGTTTATTTGGCTTTGCTCTTTGGAGGCTCAAACTGCATGTTTGCTAAGGCTTCTGCAATGGTTATCATTCTCCCTATGAGTCAGGGCTCAGAAGAAGCCAGGATTTGATGAGATTGGGACAGGGGAATGTGCCTGGGTACAGTGGATTTGTCCAATACAGTCATTTTTATCTAAAGAGAGCCTGTTATAGCCTGTAGACCATTAGACTAGGAGTCCAGAGAAGCTGGATTGAATCCTTAGTCTACCACATCCTAAGCTATGTGACTCTGGACAAACTGCTTTCTTTCTCTAGGCTTTTTGTTACTTCACTGATAAAATGAGGAGGAATCAGAAGGGGCTGGAACTAGATTTCTAAATGGTCCTTTCTAACATCCAATGATTCAACTTGTCTAGTTTTTAATCCTGAGATTGCTACTCCACCCCACCCCAAAGAACACCTGGTCACCAACTCTCTTTCACTTTGGGTCAGTGTGCTCTCTGGGAATTGGGAATCTAAGTTAATTGTTATAGCATAAACAAAGCAGAAATGGGAAGGCAAATCTTATGCAAAAGAAAGCCAAACAAATAATTTTTTGATTATCTAAACACTGTTCCCTTCTAAATCTGCAGAGCTACTTAGAGCTTTTCTACCTTAAATTAGGACTAGGGTGAAAAACAAATCCCAAGGAGGACCAGCCTTTGGAGTAGAATCTCCTATCCTTTCTCCTTCCTTCTCTCACAAGGAGAACAGGACATATTATAAAATGTGGCCCTAGCTCTCCTCCTTTCACTCCCTCAACAGAAAGGAGAGGAGCTCTGAACATCCCAAACTGTGAGAAGCTTGTCTTCCAGTAACCTTAGAGGGGACCCAGCAGGGCTAGCCTAGCAGGGGAGGAAGGAGACAGAGAGACCCTGACTGGGAGCTGGTCCCCCTCACTTGCTATAGTTTCGGGTGGCCTGAACAGCTTTTGCAATCAGCTCCTGGAGGTCGAGGGGCAACAACTGAAGATCACCCAGGACTCGGATACACACCCCATGCTTCTCCAGCTTCTCCCTGTGCAGGAATCAAGCCACAAAAATTTATGAAACAATTAATAGGTACAAGCATTATGCTAATTAAGCACCAGAAACACAAAGAAAAAGCAAAAACAGTTCCTGCCCTCAAAGACTGCCCATTCTGATACAGAAGACAACATGGACACTCATCAGTCCCTACAAGATACATATGGAGTAGATGAAAGGCAACCTAAGAGGTGAAGGCACCAGCCACTGGGAGTTGGAGGAAGAAGGCCTCTGGCAGGTGGCTTTTGAGCTCTCTCTTGAAGGAAGCTCCTGGAGGAGGTCTGGGACAGATATCCTCGCAAAAGCACCTGATGCTTAGTGAAAAATCCGCAGTCTGTTACCAAGTCACAGTTGCCCGTATGTGTAGGTGATACTTTTCATATTTTGAATTATAATTACTAGAGTACTGTGTATTTATACATGCTGGTACTGCACACACTGGACCTGAATTATCAACTCCTCTTCCCTAGCAGTGCTTTGCATACAGTAGGCACTCAACCTCATCTCCAAATTCTTTGAATGAACATTCCTCCTCTTGTTCTCAGACAATCCCCTGCTGCTTAATGATCTTGGGTGAACCTTTTTCCCTCTCTGGGCCTCCCTCAGTGTCCTCGCTGTAAGCTCTACAGTCCCCAGGAGAATGTCTAGTCCTGGGCAGCAAAACCTCATTTCCATCTCACCTTTGTATTCCCAGGGGACACTGCAGCGCCTCTGCACACAGCAGAAGCTTACTAGATGCCTGTAGGATTCAGACTGTAAGCTCCTCCAGAGTGGAGAACACACTGCGCTATCAAACCTTCCCCTGGGCCTGGGCCTAGGGCTCCTGCACACAGTGAGGAGGAATGGTATGAACTGAACAGGAAACAGAGAATGAGTGGGGTAAGAAGGTCAGGGGTGCCTCTTCTCACTGGGAACCAGGATCTATATATTCTCAAACTGTAGTGGAATAAATGAAAAACTGGGCTGTGAGTCCCATCCCTGCCATTAAGTAGTTGTGTGACTTTTGGCAAGTCATTAACCTAAGCCTCAGTTTCTTATCTGTAAAATGGGCAGGATATTTATAAAACAGGATCGATTAGAATAAAAACAGGATCAAATGAAAGTATTAAAACAGAGCACTTTGGGGGCAGCTAGGTGGCGCAGTGGATAGAGCACCAGCCCTAGAGTCAGGAGGACCTGAGTTCAAATATGGCCTCAAACACATAACACTTATTAGCTGTGTGACGCTGGGCAAGTCACTTAACCCTACTGCCTAACCAAAACAACAACAACAACAACAAAAACAGAGCACTTTGCAAACCATAAAGTGCTTTATGTCAAGTGCTTTTATTATAATCTAAGTAGTGTCTATTTCCCTCACCGTCAGCATCACAGGAACATAAAACACAAGCACAGACACCAGACCACCTTTCTTGCCTGGGTAATGGGAAGGTTTTCAAATGAAGAGACTTTGCCACCTTTTATAAAATGATTTACTGACATCACTCTGTTAAGGGTGGCCAATTAGAGCAAGGTCAAGGATCAGGACTGATGCATCACTTACGAAAGGTCAAATAAATGTTTCTTGTTTCTTTTTGGGGGGGGGAATGCTTCTCTAAAATGGTCACTGTTAGGAAAATGCTTTTCCACCCCTCTTTCTAGGTGGTTGAAGGACCTTTATATCACATCTACATTATATCATTTTAGGTTGTTCAAAGGATAGAATATTACTTTCAATCAACATAATGTGTAACTCACTTTTTTTTCTTGTTTTCAAGGGCCAGACATGATGCTCTGAAGAGCTCCAAGCTGGCTATCCCTGAACCAGCTTTCGTTTGTTTGTTTACGTGTCTATTCCAGTGTCACACTGCCCCTGGATTACTGGGTGAGCCATGGAAGGTGGGGATGGCAGAGCTAGTTTCCTTGAAAGCTAGTTTTAAGGAGCTTCTTTCTTTGATCTGCCTCAGCCAGAGGCCGCAGACTTGCTGGGCACTCACTCACTCCTTCTGCCTGGGAATGCAGAAGCTTGGATCCTACTGGCCAGCTGAAGTTCCAAGCCTCAGAATTCATCATTCATCCCTGAGTTTCTTTCCTCAACAGTGAAAGAGAAAGGTGTCCCTCAAGGCTTCTCCCACATTCTCTCCCTGGACCAAGCCTTTGCATAAAGCTGTAAGGGAGAATCACCATTACCAAGCTTGCTGTTGGCACCTATTTTCCCACGAATGGAGCTTTAGGGTCTGTCTTATGGTCATCCCAAGAGAACTCAGAATATGCACACATACGCTCTAGGAGCCTGGGGACACACGGAATATGCTCTCCCTCCCTCCCCTGCATGGCATCTTACTGTTCTTCCATCAATCGAGTAAATTTCTGCCTGGCCAGCTCCATTAGCCCATCCACCTCATTCTTTGAGCGTTTGAAGTTCTCAATGCTGAAGGCATATACAGTCACCTCTCGGATGCCCAGGTTCAAACACCAACGCAGGGTCTAAGAAGGGAGAAAGGGAAAGTGCTAGGGTCCCTGGGATGAGAGACACTTCATATCCTGCCTCATGGTTAAGTGGGGCAGACAGAACCTGTGAAGGTGACAGAGATGAAGACAGAAAAAAAAATTCACCTGAACAACAGGATTCTGCTGGATTCTGGTCCTTGGACCCCTCATTAACTAGCTACGTAACTGTAAGTATATCATTTAACCTCTCTACAATGAAATTTCTTTTTCTCTGTAGAACCAAGGATGTCATTTTAGCCTCACAGTATTACTGAGGAATGATGTTAAAACACAAGAAATAATGATCTCCAGCACCATTAACTGTTATGATCCTGGTGGAGAGGGAAGGATCACCCAGTTAAGAACTGCTCTCAACTACATTCTCTTTTATATCTGAGAACAAAGCTGGCATCAGAAGACAAGATGCTGACGATACTTGGAGGCTAAAGGGAAGTATGAGTCAATCAAGTCAAACAGATGAGGGGACAAAGCTTCCCCTAAGCCAAAGCACTTCAAACTATGCCCAAACTTTTAACACCCCAATGCAAACTGGACACATCTTTGTTCAGATCCAAAAGAATTTACCTCCATGGCAGTCACTCTGGGCAGCACCCTACAAGTGGTTTGGAACAAAGGACAAAACTGAGCCTCTTACAACAGTTAGGCAGAAGCTGAAATCAATCAAAACTCCAGGAGGCCAATGGGCAGTTTTAGAAATAAGCTCTCTGCTTCCTCGTCCAAGAATGAATCAAGAATATTCAGCTTATCACTGTGACGGCCTTCATTGAGGGAGGGAGGAAGGCTGGCCGGCTAGGGGAGACTGGCTCACATAACAATAGCTCTTTACACAATCATGAGCAAGAACCATCCGTTCAACGGCTAGAGGCTGCTAGTGGCACAGTGGGTAAAGCACTAGACCTGGGGTCAGGAGGGTCTGAGTTCAGACCCAGCCTCAGACACTTTTTAGCTACGGGACTCTGGCCTAGCCTGTGCCTACCTCAGTCTCCTTATCTGTAAAATGGGGGAAGGGAATCACAACAGAAACCACCTCGCGAGGGCACTGTGAGGATCTGCTGAGGTCGTCTCTGTAAAGTGCTCAGCACGGGTCTGGCACCGGCGCACAGCAGGCGCCGTAGTAAGTGCTAGTTCCTCTTGCCCTCCCACCTGCTCCTGGGCGGAGAAGCCTCTGCAGCCAAGATCAAGTAACCCCAAAGACTGCCCGAGGGCGCTGCCTCCCACCTCGGCCAACTTATTGAAGCCCTGCGTATGGCCCTCCTGTCGCTCCACCTGGCACTTCTGGGCGTAGCGGCGGTTCCCGTCCATGATGAACGCAATGTGCTTGGGCATCGGGCCTGCCTATGGGGGCAAGAGAGAAATCATGTCCAGGCCTGTGACAGGAGAGAAGCCGGAAGCCAGGAAGATCCTTATTCCCAAGCTAACAGGGGCTGGCCTGTATGAAAAGAAGGCGAAGAATCCGGGCAGCTCCCTCATCCCACCCCCAGCCAGCTCCCAGAGGGCCCACTGACACAGCACAGAAAAATACTCTAGAGGGAGCGGCTCCGTATCACCCCCTAAGACCAATTCAGTAGAATCTAAGCTCCTGAAGGGACTGTTTCCATTTTGTCTTTGTATCCTAACTGCCTAGCATGCTGTCTTGTTCCTCCCACCTCCACCTTATTTATTTAATCCTTTTTTTTTTTTACACTTTGAGTTCCAAATTCTCTCCCTCCCTCCAGCCCCTCCCCCACCCACTAAGAAGGCAAGCAGTATGACACTCAGGATACGTGTGAAGTCACTAGCAAAGTACACATACATCAGAGAGCTTAATAAATGATCCCGGGATTGTGACCTTGACTTCTCTCTTTTGCCAACTGATGGGTCCTCCAGCTGCTCTTCCCAGGTTATCTCAAGCCCAGTCTCTCATTATTTCTCAGTGTTGCCTCTCAACACCAGCCAAACCAATCTGTTTGTTGTCGCTGACATCATTACAGAGGTCCCCAAACTTTTTGCAAAAACCTGTTTTTTTTTTCCATCTCCTCAAGTGCCAAAGTCTTAAGATAACTACTGGGAGGACAGGAGCAGTAGGGAAGGAAAGGGAAAAAGAAGGAGTGGTGACAGTCAAGTTTATGAACAGCACTGGTCATAGGTGTAGAGCTTGAAGGAACCTTGAAGTCCAACCCCCTCATTTTATAAATAAGGAAACTGAGGTCCAGACAAATTATGGTTACCTTGCCCAAAGTCACACAGATAGTTAAGTGGCAGAACAAGGTTTAATACCCCATCATCTGACTCCTCCAGCATTCTTTCCACTGTGCCATGCTGTTCTCCCAACATGATAACCCAAACCTTACGGAGACTGGAATGAAAACAGCAACTGGCTGAAAGATCTATCTACCAGCTGGTTGGAGAATGTTATACCCTTGGGGTAGATCCTGCTAATAACAATAATAAATATGGATTATATATTATTTTTCTCATTAATGATAGATAGTTCAAGGATTAATAAACTCACTGGCATGGTGGCTTCTCCAACAAAAACTGCTATCTCTCTAGGCCTCTAGGAGGCTGCTGAATGAGCTGCTGTGGCTAAAAATCCTTTATGATCAAGCTATAAGGAGCTTCTCTGAACTTTGCTAGGCTGGTCCTTTAGCAGCCTGTCTTGCTTGGCAGAACGTGGGCAAAGCTTGTATGCTGGCACAGCTGTGATAGGTCGCAGAAGACCCTTACTGGAGGAACATACTGTCAATTTACATAGAGAACAACCAAGGCTTGGAGAAGCCCTTTCTCTACCATACTTCCCCCAGCCCACACATCTGAAATCCTGTCAGTCTTTCAGCAAACCATGTTTCATAATGTGCCAACATCCATCCCTCCAACCATTTCCCATTTTCATCATCAATGGCTTGTTTAAGCATGTCACGTTAGAGGTGTTTTAGTTGTACACCATATCTTTCTCTCCAGTAGGCAACAAGGTTAAGTGACTTGCCCAGGGTCACACAGCTAGTAAGTATTATGTGTGTGAGGCCGGATCTGAATTCAGGTCCTCCTGAATCCAGGACTGGTGTTCTATCCACTGTGCCACCCAGCTGCCCCCTCTTTATTTAATTTGCACATTAGAATTTAAAAAGCAAACCTGTCCTCAAGGAGCAGGATAAGCTATAACTAGTACTTAGCACTAAGTACACAATAAATACTTAACTAACTTATCCTGTCAATCAAGCCCTGCTCCTGTAATCCTCTTAAGGCCTGTGCTAGTGGCCCTGAGGTCTAGCAGGCCCTACACCGAGCTGGAAGAGCTTCAAGTATGTGTCTGTCCTCTGAATACCAGCCTGGTTAAGTAGACAAGCGACACGTAGCAGATGATAAAAGCTTCACCACAGAAATTCATGAAGATATAACTAAGGTCTGAAAGAAGAACCAACATCAATTAAATTCTTTAACATTCCAAAATAACTTGTTCATTAACAGATATTTAATCCTTCTATTTCCTGAGACTGCCACTAGGAACCAGGAGTAGCTGGGATACAGTGTGAAAAGGGCTGACCTGAGAGCTAGGGCCCTGGGCTTCTAATCCTGGTTCTGCTCATGCCTGGATAAGCAACCTACAGATTCACAGGACTAAGAGGGAGAAGCCACCTCACCATCAACATCGTCCAATTCTCCTCATGTTACACACTCATTCTCCTCAGTGCAAATCTGGCCTCAGACACTTACTAAGCTGTGGGATCCTGGGCAAGTCACTCTATTCTGTTTGCCTTAGTTTCCTCATCTGGAAAATGAACTGGAGAAAGAAATGGCAAACCACGCCAGGGATTATGGAGAGTTAGAAATGACTGAACCAATGGAACAACTTGCTTCTACTACCCTGCCCACACCTTTCTAACTTAACTTCTTGCTTCTTTCAAAGATTTTCCCAAGGAGAGGGATGTAAGGTACATTTTGTAAACAGACACATAGATAAAAATGTAGCTTCCCAGTCAAAAGGACCCAAGCTCAAGCCCTACCTCTGACCCAAGCTGGGCTCAGCAGATGTCCTCAGAGGATAAACTGCAATACAATTGTCCATCTGCATTGGCGGTTTTCTTCCCTGCAAGTCTCCTACACAAATAAAACCCCAGGTACAGGCCAAAAAAAAAATTATATAGGAGGATGGCGCTGCTAGAGGATTTTAAGTCTGATGGTTTTCTCCCCTTGTAGTGTGATAAATTCCCATTGTACCATCCTTCGCCACACATTCCCCCGGTGACACAGAACGCTGAGATGAAGGAGTCATCAATTAAAGGGCTAGCCTTCAGCTAGGACATAGAATACAAGGAGCTAGCCCACACTCCTTCCTCATCTCGACCTCTTAGAAGAACCTTAGCTTATATCAATGATCATCTCTAGTCTTTCCTGATACCTCCAGTTGTTCATGCTTTCTCCCTCCTCAAATTACTATGTATGTCTACCTCTCCTGACCTCCAACAGAAGGGAGGTTTCCAGAGGGCAAGGTGTGTTTGCTTTATATCATTATATCCCCAATGCTGAGGACAGTGTCTCATCCGTAGCAAGCAAGTCTGACATGATGTCACAAGAATTATGCTTTAAGAAATGAAGGGACAGTTTCAGAGAAACCTTGGGAAGACTTGTATAAAATGATGCAGAGTAAAGTGAAAAGAATCAGGAGAACAATATATACAATAGTGACAACACTGTAAAAATGAATAAGTTTGAAAGACTTCAGAACTCTGATCAATGAAATGACTTGCTACAATACCGGGAACCAACACTGAAGCACACTGCCCACCTTCTGACAGAGAAGACTCAAGATGCAGAAAGAGACATGGCCAAAGGGGAATTTGTTTTTGTTTGACTATGCTTATTTCTTACAAGAATCTTGTTTTTCTTTTTTCTTTCTTAATGGGGGAGGCATATTGGAGGAAAGAGAGAAAATAACTGTTAACTGAAAAACTTTAATTAAAATAATTAAAATAAAATAAATGTCTGTAAAAATGAATTGTATCCCCTGTTACAGCTGGGGAGAATAGATCCTGGTTAAGAATCCACTCCCTACATAATATCCCATCTAAGCTAGAAAGGGCACATGGCCTAAACTCTTTTTTTTACCTTAATGATGTTGGCACAGAACCGCTCTAAGAGTGTAAGCTCTCCTTCCCTGATCCATGACATGGTCTCTGGTCCCTTCAGGAAACTAGACTTGGGTCTCCTGAGAACGAGTAGCACCTGAGAAAAATTAACACATATCAATGAGAAGTTCCAGGATCTAGCTACAATAGGGACTCCAGGAGATATCACCTTTTCCTGTCCCTTGGACACTAGGGAACAGCCAGAAATAAAACCCCAGCTGGAGATGATCTTATAGGTACAGGCCTTGAACAACTTTCCACTCCAGAGCAACAAAATACACAAGCATGGGACACTAAAGGAAAAGAGACTATAATAGCTCTGAGGGCAGCTAGGTGGCGCCATAGTGCACAGAGTGCTGGGCCTGAAATCTGAAGACTCCTCTTTGGGAGTTAAAATCTGGCCTCAGAAATTTACTAGCTATGTGACCCTGAGCTAGTCAGTTTCCTTATTCTTAAAACGATCCAGTAAAGGAAATGGAAAAGTCACTCTAGTATCTTTGTCAAGAAAATCCCCAATGGGGTCACAAAGATCAGATACAACTGAAACAACTGAACAACAGATAACAACAACAGCTCTGATACTCCTCCCACCACCACCTGACTACTCCCTCAAAACCAAGCTAACACCCACACAACCCTTACGGTAGGGCACCACTAAGTGACCTCTCCTTCTCCCCCCTCCCATAGCCAAAGGAGCCTCCTCCTCTCCTCTTCCCCTACACCCCCTAAGAGCTTCTCTTTCTCTTCTCTTCTTTCCCCTACTCCATACCTTTTCCCTCAAGAGGCTCCCTCCTCTCCTATTTCAGTCCGTCTCTTCCTCCTTCAGAGAACACCCCTACTCTTCTTCCTCTCATCCTCCTTTAGGTCACCCCTTACTCCTTCCCCCTTTGGGAACTCCCTCAGGTAGTCTCCCTTCTCTTTTCCCCCTCTCTCTCTCCCTTCAACCAGCCATCTCTTCTTTTTCTCCTTCAGGCAGCCCCCTCCTTTTCTTCTCTTCCTCCTCTAGGCAGACCCCTCCTCTCTTCCCCCCTCCACCAGGCAACCCCAAACTTTTGCTCCTCTTTCCTCCTTTTCTAGGCAGCCCCCTCCTCCCTCCCTCCTCCTTCTCCACCAGGCAGCCCCCCTCCTCTCTTCCCTCCTCCTTTTCCAGGCAGCCCCCTCCTCTCTTCTTTCCTCCTTTTCCAGGAAGCCCCCTTCTCCTCCCTCTCACCAGGCAGCTCCTTGCTTCTCCAGGCAACTCCCCCTCTTCCCCTCTCCTCCTCCAAGCAGACCGCCACCTCTCTTTCCCCCTCCTCCTCCTCCAGGTAGTCCCCTCCTCTCCTCCTCTTCCTCCAGGTAGCCCCTGCCTCTCTTCCCCTCTCCTCCTCCAGACAGGTACCCTCTTCCCTTCTCCAGGCAGTCCCCCTTCCCTTCTCCTCCTCCAGACAGACCCCCTCCTCTCTTCCTCCAGGTAGCCCTTGCCTCTCTTCCCCTCTCCTCCTCCAGACAGCCCCCACCTTCTCCAGGCAGCCTCCTTTCCCTTCTCCTCTTCCAAACAGACCCCCTCCTCTCTTCCTCTTCCTCCAGGTGGCCCCTGCCTCTCTTCCCCTCTCCTCCTCCAGGCAGACCCCTCCTCTCTTCCGCTTCCTCCAGACAGCCCCCCCTTCCCTTCTCCTCTTCCAGGCAGACCCCCTCCTCTCTTCCCCTCTCCTCCAGGCAAACCCCCTCCTCTCTTCCTCCAGGCAGACCCCTGCCTCTCTTTCCCCCTCCTCCTCCAGGTAGCCCCCCTCCTCAGTTGCCTCTCTGTCCCTCCGCTTCGTGTTCCCCTCCTGCCTTCCTCGCTCGGTCCTCCTTTCTCCCTAGAGCGTCCCTCCCCAGGCCCCCAGGCCTCCTTCAGCCCAGCTCCACCAGCCTGGGGAGCCCTGCCTTCCTCACCACTGGCCGTCGGCCCGCACCTTCAGGGATCTCAGACTGAGGCCGGTACTTCCTCAGCGCCGGTCGCCTGAAAAATACGTCATCGCCAGCGGCCGGGACTCGCCACCTCCTCCCTAGTTCGCATTCGTGTCGCAAACTTGGAGCCTCTCGCGGCGGGCTTGCAGCTGCTACGCATGCGCACAGCGAGCAGTCCGCGCGCCTCTGAGATCGCTGTGCGCTTGGCGTGTACCATTGGGAGTTGAACAGGGGGTGACGTCCCCGAGGCTGTCTGAGGACGAGACCACATAGACTAGGAGGGGGGCCGCGGGGATGGGCGGGAACTGGGAGGGCGAAATTAGGGCTGCAAGAGGAGTTAGAAGAGATCTGAGCACAGAGAACTGTAATGGCAGTGCCTTCCCTTGGGGATGGGAGTGGAGAAAGGGGGAATTGGGCGGGGAAGCCTAGAACAAGAAATGGCAGAGTTGGGTGGGGGAAGAATTAGAAGAGAGAGGGTAATAGCGGAAAAGTGAAAGCTTTTAGAAAGTCAAAGCTAGAAAGGTCTTTAAGCAAGAATGTCAGAGGTGGGAGGGCCCTTAGAACAGGGGATGTCAGAGCAGGATACAGAATGTCAGAGAGCTGGAAGGGACTTTGGAACTTGAAATGAGAGAGCCTTAGAAGCCAAAGGCAGGAAACTAGCATTTATTAAGTGCTTACTGTGTACTAGATCTTCCTGACTCCTGAGCTAAAAGTGACCTTCTATAGAGGGAGCTAGGTTGCCCAGTGGTTAGAGTGCTGGGGCTGGATTTGCAAAAACTGGAGTTCAAATAATACCTCAAGATACATACTACCTGTGTGACCCTAGGCAAATCACTTAAGAGATGCTTGCCTCAGTTTCCTCATCTGTAAAATGGGGATAATAATAGCACTTACCTCCCAAGGTAGTTGCCAGAACCAAATAAGGCATTTGTAAAGTGCTTAACGATGTCTGTGGCACATAGTAAGTGCTTAATAAATGCTTGTTCCCGCCCCTTGCTCTTCTTAGAACATAGAATGTCAGTTTCCTCCCACGTGTACTAGATTGGGGCCAGAACTGGTTTCTGAATTTCAGTAAGATGACCACAAAATGACTCAAAAGCAGCTGAGGGGTTATTAGGTTTGTTTTTAATCAGAACGTTGGAGGCCACAGAATCATAAACTGTCCAGAGCAAGAAAGGCCCTTAGGAATCTTCTCAATGCTTCTATGGAACCAAGGCCACAGAGGATAAATGACTTACTCAAAATCACCCACTAAGTTGATGTCTGGTCTGGGGCTAGAATCCCAAACTCCTACCCACAGGAGCAATATCCTTCCAATAGGCAGGCCACTCTTACATTCCAAGAACAATGACCTTCAAGTTTTAATTTTCTCAGAATTCACGAAAAGAGAAAGGGGAAAGAGTTGACTCAAATAAAGAAATATCCACATCATTTATGTGCTTCTCAGACAGCCACTGATTCTGACAGTGTTCTTGGAAGTTTGCAGAATGCCTTTATTTAAAAAAAAAATTACTTCACATAGTCTGCCTTATGACCAGTCCATCAAAGTTATAGGAAGGGAAGCCAGTGGGGCAAGGGTCTGTGAACCTGTTTTGGACATTTTGGTAACTGTATTCCAGTATCATTGGTTTCCTTTGTAATTCTTTGTATTTATGCATTTAAAAACATTATTCTGAAAAGCAGGCCTTAGCCTTGCCACACTGCTGAAGGATTCCAAAACACCTTTAAGGTTAAGGCCGCTTGCCTAAGAGGAGGAGTTGGGTGGTTAGTGCAAGAATTGGATGGAGCAACCTTGCTTAAGACACCCACTGGCTGGGACCCCTAATCTCAATTTCCTCATCTATAAAGTGAGGACAATTATAACAACTAACCTTCAGAGTTATTGTGAGATAATTTATTTACACACATATAAATATGAGCCATTATTAAGCCCTCTCAACCCTATATTTGCCTGAAGAAAAATCTCCCTTTGGTCATATGGATCTATGGTGGGCCCAAAGCAGACTGGAGATGAGTTCTATTACATACTCTACTAATTTGGGTCTGACGTGTCAGGGCAAGACAGGCTTTTCTAAAGCTTTCTTGTTCCTTGTCCCATTTTCAACATCCTGACTCTTTAAATGCCAGTTTTGACATTCGACTCAATTCAGCTCCTAAAGGGGCCACCAAAAGGTTAGCCTGAGCACTGGAGTGGAAATGGGGAAATCTGAAGCCCTGTTCTGATGAGGCCTGCCGGGTATGAGGATTTGATACTGGCACACAGGCCACAGTAGAGGATACTTAGAAAGGCATTCCTCCTGACTCCCCAGAATATTTACAAAATGTTTTTAGAAGGTTCTTTGTAAACACGAGAAGCATTAGATAATCAGGCCTGCCCCTTCTGATCCTGAGACCTAGAGGAACAAAGATTTCTGACTTGGGCCAGGGGATGGTATATTGAGGAAATCATGGGCCCATCTGGTTCATTCTAGCATAGGTCGCTGTCACCTCCTTATACCCCCTCACTAGTCACTTTACTTATGTGGTAGCCAATTCTTCTTGCCTCAGTTTCCCTGGCTTCCCGCTTTCAAACCTCCCTCCCCTCCCCAGGGAGTTTGGTAGGACTGTTAATTAATGACAGTTTGTAAAGGTCTTTGAGGGAGAAGGCGCCAGGAGCTGGACAAAGTGTTATTAGGGTCTCATGCCCCGAGCTGTGGCCCCGGCCTTTCATCCCAGCCAGGGGCACAGGCGACCCCATTCTCATGCATGCCAAATCCTTAATCCCCTCCTGAATGTGGCAGCTTCCAAGAGGCCTGAACCAGAAACAAAAATCTGCTGTAATTAGGTGCTAAGAGGACTGGACTTTAAAGATTCAGTCCTAATAAGCTAAGACTAGTCAGTAACTTAACTGCTTCTCTCCTAGGGCCCCAGCTTCCCTATCAGAGGGGAGGCAGCAAAGGGTGGGGGGTGGAGGTGGGGGATGGCGAAGTTTCCCTGGGGGAAAGGAGAAAAACTGCCCAAAAGTTTGATAAGAAAGAGACAGCAGAGGCTCTCAGTTCCAATAAGTCTTTATTCATTCATTGTATTTTCCCAGGGTGGAGGGGGAAAGAGGGAGAAAGGGGAAGGGGTTAGCATGTGTCACAAAACAAGATGGGGAAGGAGGGAAAAGGAAAGGAAGAAGCCCTAACTGCAAAGTATCAAACACATTTGCCCCAAGATCAGGGCGCTGCCTAAGGGGGCTCAGTCTCCAGCAGCTCAGGAATGAGGGCAAAGGAGGGGAGGAAAGACCCAGATTAATACAGTCATCCTCTTTCCCTCCTCCTTCCCTTCCTCCCTTCATATAAATTCAAGAATTTCACAAAAAGCTTTGGTTTCTAGCAGTAAACATGGAGTTACATTCGTCCGTCTCCTATAAGACAATCTTGTGGCCACTTTGAAAAGAATTTCTTGCACCAACAGAAAAGAGACCTTGGGGGGACTTGGGTATACATTCATTTCCCTTCTCCAGGTCTCCCCACCACTCCTGCCCTTCCCAGTCCTCCCGCAGGAGGCTGACATCACTCTATGAACTGGGAATCAAGTAAACATTTGGTAACTCTCCCATACCAAGGAAGAGACTCACCCATGAGGGGATTTGGCAACGGGTTCCTGGTTCCCTAGATCTTTTGCAGAAATCTATGAAGGCATCTGGGAAAACATGCAATTTGGGGGGGGGGAGCAAGTGATGGGCAAAATTTGAAAGTTTGGGCTTTGGGGTCTCATTAATGGCAGTGGGGAAAACAGAAACAAGGAGAACTAACTTCATCTGGAACCTTGGAGAGAAGGAACCAGCCAAGTCCTGGTTTCAAGATCTCTGCCTGGTGCATAATCCCTTTGTCAAGAGATGTTTGGGCTATTTTCTTTTCAATACAAAAAAAAAGTTTGTAAACAATAAAACCCCCAAGGGAATGTGAAGACTGACAGCATATTTACACAGACTAACCCACCTCACAACCACCAAACCAGCAACTT